GCAAGCCGAGGGGATCGACATCTGCCGGAGCCTCAAAGCGCAAGCTACCCTCACCACGCTGTTTCTTTGTGAGGGTTCTGTTGCAGGTGTGTGGCCCTGGCCGCACGAGCTTGAGGGTTTTGGGGGGTTGGCGTTTTGAGGCTTTGAGGTCAGGTGCTTGCCATAGCACCCAAGCCCTCAAATCCTGTTCAAGCAGAGTCCAGCAGACCAGTAGCCTCTAAAAAATCTAACTCAGCGGATGAGAAATGGGCGATACACCCGCTCCCCCACAGTGAGGCACTCAGTGCACTTGAGGGCAGAGGTGATCAACAGCATGTTCTCGAACGCCTTTCGTTCTCTCCCGCGGATCAACATGCTAGAAGGGGTAGCTGCCTGGTTTGCCGAAGTGGCTCTTAAGCCCCCAGTTTTTAGGGTTTAGGGTTTAGGGTTCATTCTTCATGGCAAGCACCAGGCTTCGGAGTGCAGGAAGCTCACATTGTCCGACCAAGGCTTTGCCAATTCGAATTCAGGGAACCCGAACAGCTGGCGCTGACCTCAGAGGGATCTTGGCACGAGCTGACCTTTGCGGATCACTGACGTAGTGGCAAGCGCCGCAGAACCTTTCGGTAGTGAAACAATGCAATTATCTATACTCGCCTGTATGCAATGTACATATCTTCTAAATCTATATATATATATGCATATGATATATATATATATATACATATACATATAGAGAGACCGATCATTCAGCAAATATATGTGTATATGTCCATGGTTTGTTTCTTATGCACACGCATGCGGACTTCTACTGTGCACGCCGCCCCTCGTGAGAGGCGGATGTTGAAAACTCTGACTCCAGGGGCCGCCAAACCACCAGACTCTCCAAACCCAAAAAGCCGAAGGCCGTCCGAGTGAGGTCCCCCAAAGCAACTCTACTACAAGACTCTGAGCCCATACAGAAAACTCCGACAGTCGCGTGAGGCTGGGCTTTCAGGTTCCAGAAAGGCGTCGAAGCGACTAGCTTTGAACCATAAACATGAAACTCGCAGCGCGCCAAATTCCTCACTCCTCAACCCCTGAAAGGACGAACATCAATCCCAGCTCATCCCAAATTCCTGAACAGGTTCAAGGTGGGCTCCATCATGACCACTGAGAACTTTGCCTTCGCCAGCGAGACGGCGGGGCTTTGGGATCTGTTGGGACACTCGGAGGATGCTTGGGGCAGTGCTGGGGTCCGGGGTTAAGCTCCAAGGCTTCAACCCCTTGCCACAAAAAAGGCCCTATGAAGCTTGCATCGGCCAGGGCCAGAACACCGGCCTCCAGACCATCAAGCATCTTGGGCGCTCGAATCGCTATAACTTTTTGAAGATCTTATTATTTTCTCCAGTCGTTTCAGTTCACAAGCCCTTGGGAATGTGGAAGCCCGAAGTCCTCAGCCCCAATTCGGGTGCCAAGAGCGGCCAAGGTATGTCGGACATCCTGGATCGGCGTGGAGCTCGTCCGAGAAGTGCAAACCCAGTGGGGCAGACGGCAGAATGCCTCGCCCATGAAACTGGACGCGGTTATGCGTTGCAAGCGTGTTCGGCATGCACCTAGCTCCTTCAGTCAGTGTCCCCCGTAGATGATCGCTTGAAGACTTTCCATCAATTTGCAGACAACCTCGGATGATGGAGACAGATGTGAGGCGGCTAGCGTCAGTTTATGGATGCTCAGGTCACATTTTTTGGCGGCATCATGGGCGCAGGCAGGATGCCCTAATCACCTTTTCATCTTCTCTCCTCGAGTTCTCGATCCGTTGCTCCAGTGCGAGCACTTCCCTCGACAGACGCAGATCTGTTCATAGTGAATGTAGTGTAGCGCAGCCGGTCCCCGTATCTGCTCAATCCGATGCGAAGCATTTCAAGGCCTGGTTGTTAAAAAGTGCATACATGACGTGCTAGACCCAAATCCTCAACCCGACAAGCCGTGGAGGTGTTATTCCGAACCCATTCGAGAGCAACATGTACTCCGGCAAGGCGGGCCCCGCAAGGCTTTTTCAGTACTTGAACACCATCCTCGACTCCTAAACCCTACACCCCCAAACCTGTTGCGGCCCTGTGTGCTTCCTGGCTTCTTGTGCTTCCTTGGCTTTTAGACTTCTTGCCTTGCTATGGATGCTTTGCGGCTTCGGTCCTTCTTTGTGTGGTCTTGGCATCCGTGGCCCTTGCTGTCTTTTGATGGGGTGTTCTTGGCGTCTGGTCCGGCTTTGCTTGGCTTCTTTGATTTCGGCTGCTGGGCAGCCGTTATTTTTTACGATTGAGAGTTTATGGATTGCCGGCTGCTTGGCAATCCAGACCAGCAGAAAGACAGCACGCCGGGAAAGACGCAACAGCAAATTCGCATTCAAAGCAGCACAGAAAGCAAAAAGGAATCGCATGCAGCAAGAAACAACAAACATATGGACCGTGAGTAAAGCTTAGGATGCATCAATACACAGCGAACCCAATGGATAGAGCAGAGGGGAAGACACATCTTCAATGGGTAATCACTCTGGCAGTCAAAAAGAATATGCTGTACGCGAGCTTATTGCACTCAGACAAAACGACGAGTTTTTTCCAACACAGCCCGGAAAAAAGTCCTTCGGATGTAGGACAAGTTCACTGGGCCTTGCCAAACCCTAAACCCTAAACCATAAATCCTAAACCCTTGCTAAACTTCAGTCTTTTTATATGGACTTGTGGAAGCTCGGTAAAAAGGGGTTTACGAATATAAGGGATCCCTAATGTAGACCTTGAAAAGGGGGATTCCCTTATAACAAGGACCCCCCAAAAAGGGTACCCCTAATATCTTAAACCCCCAAATCGCTTCCATAAAAAATCGATTCCGTTGCAAGTTGCTTGCCGTTAGGACGAAGCTCGCTATGCAGGTTTGCAAGGAAGTTTCACGGGCTTTTGTTGGTAAGCTTCGGCCTTGTCGGCCAATGGGCTTGAATGTCAAGGTGGCAGAGGTGCATTTTGTTCAGTCTTCATGCAGCCTTGAGACATGAATGTCGAACCTCGGCACGTTTTACTCAATTGTAATGTGGCTCCGCAAGTTCCATGATGTCGAACCCCGAGTTGCAGCTGATATGAGAAGTTAAGTGCTTTTCACGAAGCTTGTCTGCGTTCTGTTGCGACGTACGGTACTTGCCTGGAGCCAGCGGGTTTGCAGTTTAGGTCCTTTTTGCAGTTTGGGTCTTTTGTCCTTTGGAATTTTGAAGCCATTCGGATCCAACAAGCTTCCTGCTTCCTAAACTCTGAAATGACCCCTAAAACCCTGTCAGGTGAAAAGCACTGGGGCTCTAACAAGGGACCTTCGGAGAGGTATATGTGTGGGAAGTGGTAGAAAGGGACGCGGAATCTTGATAATCAAGGGCCCATGAGAACGGCGCCATGCTGGAGAGACAACCCAAGCCCTCACATTCCAAACCCTGCACAGGCCCTGGTAAACATCATGTCCTACGACCGCGAGCTGCTGTTCGGTTATGGGCTCAGCTTCAGGGCACGCCCGATGTCGGTTTAACTTAGGGTATACCAGGGTGTAGGGTTAGGGTCTCAAGTTGGGAACACGTTACATCCACAGCGACAGTCCCATCAGAAAGCGCCACAATTTTGTTCAAGTTGCAGAGCTACGCAGGAGGGGGTCTTGAGGGGCCTGAAGCCCTAAACCCTGAAGCCCCAAAACCCGGAAGCTCGGGGCTTGGGGCGTCTGGTGGCTACGGGCCAGACCTGGGCTGGATAGCGGTGGCTTAGGGTTTAGGGTTCAGGGTTCAGGGTTCAGGGTTTAGGGTTTAGGGTTGAGGCCGGAACCTGATGAGTCTGTGGAGGCTTCAGGGTTGTAGGGCTTCAGAGCTTCTGCCTGAACCCTGCTTGGAGGTTCATGGGGAGCTACACCTGGCGTTATGAGTCAGCTAAGTCTCGCTATGTCTGGCTGTACCCTTAGGGCACTTATCTACCCTCTGCTATATGAGTTCATCTACCCGGGCATCTTCTGCCAGGTGTGGGGGCTGCACAGAAGAGCTTGATGAAGCACTACAGCCGCGAGCTCACAGGGCTAAACCCTAAATCCTAAACCCTAAACCCTGCACCCTAAACCCTAAACCCTAAACCCTAAACCCTAAACCCTAAACCCTAAACCCTAAACCCTAAACCCTAAACCCTAAACCCTAAACCCTAAACCCTAAACCCTAAACATTGCATGTCCTTCTTGAAGTTCCAGGGATGCCTGGTGGTGGACTGGCACTGCCTCTGCCGCCATTTGTGCAGCAAAGACGGCTTTCGCTTCTCAGGTTACGACATCGAGCAGCCCCTGACCTTCCAGCAGCAGGCCTACACGCATTTTTCATGCTCATATGCCCATCATTTTCACAATCAAGTGCTTGTCATGTGGTACAGGCATCCTTGGGCAAGCGCCAAGCCTAGTCACATCTCCAACGAACCAGCAAGTTGTTCTAGGTTAGGCTGAAAGGCTTGAAAATCTCATTGGCATTGCTCAAAGAGTGGTGGCGCCTCTCATTTGCAAGCATTGGCCACTGGCCTAGAAGCAGGTGTCTTTCGGCATTGCCCTCGTGGTTTGTTGCTCCAGCAAATGCAATGCAAGCTTTTAACAACTCAGCTTTGGGAAAGAAGTTTACATTTTTGTGTTGCAGGAAACTACAATGCATTTGGTCTCTCACAAGTGAGCAGCCAATGCCAGAACTCGGAGTTGTGGCAGGTCTATCAATCCTTTCGTGAGTGTTTGGTGGCCAGGTCTAGGTAACCAGCAGGAGAACAAGTAAACTGCCGCCATGGCATGCCACGTATCTAGGTTCACGGCGTGCTTTCTGGTGCATCAGTAGGTGCTGTTCTTCTACAATATATACGTTATGGTGCGCTATAGCATCTTGCTTGCAGTTGCTGTACACTAGCACTAGGCTCTGGTGCTCGTGCGATCGTAAAGCCCATACACATCGGATGCTTGCATACTTGCACATTTACCTACTACCCTTGCGTTGCTGTCAGATGGACACGGAGTGCCAGAAGGAGCGCTACTCCTTGACGCTGGTCAACGGACCAAGTGACAAGCAGGCCGCAGCCTTCTTCTGCAATGTGTTTGCTTCAAGTTCATCTGAAGGCTATAAATTCATCTAGAGGTTGCATTCGATTCAGCATTACATCCGGCTCTTTCATATCGAAAGGGACACGGCTCCCCTTATCGGTACGGCGTAGAATGGTGTTCCTCATAAAACGGACCACCATCAGGATTAGGGTTTAGGGGGCTCAAAGGGACGTCTATGGCCAGGCGGCAAAGGCATACATCGCAAACGTGGACGTTCAGAACGACAACACCATCTCACAGTGACCTACCGACCTACCTGTGTGAGTGACGTTGGAGGCTGCCCCGTGTTGCCGGTCGACTGCGCACGCCAGCAGTAGCCATTCACGACGTTGAGGAACCCTAAAACTAAAACCCTAAAACCGTAAAACCCTAAAACCCTAAAACCCTAAAACCCTAAAACCCTAAAACCCTAAAGCCCTAAAGCCCTAAAGCCCCAAAACCCTAAAACCCTAAAACCCTAAAGCCCTAAAGCCCCCAAAACCCTGAACCGGCTCTCTCTCAATCAACGCAGGTACCTCAGCTTTAGCGGGAACGACAAGAACAACCTGATGACCATCAAGTTGGCCGGCGCCAGGGCCTCTGAAATGCCTACGAGACGAGCGGTATCCATTTTTAAATTCGTGTTTTTTAATGAGTTCTTTGGGATAATACAATAAAGCACCTTTTTGGATATAAAGCACTTTTTTGCCAGAGGACTTTTCAACACACTGAATATTCCCCCAGAGCCCTCTGACAAGGGCAAGCAGAAGTGAGCCAAAGCCACCCGTGCACTTCCCCTGAACTGGAAGCTGGTTTAGTGTGTAGGGGTTCCGGTCTTGGAGCATGGCAAGTAAGCTCGGCAAGTCCCGCAAGTCCCATACAGACTCCAAGAAGCAGACTTCCGGGCCCAGCTTAGGGTCTGGTTCTGGGTTTGTGGTGGAGGCTCTAGGGTAGGGTAGGGAACCCCAAAATTCCAAGAACCCAACTCCCCCACCCCCGAAACCGCGAGAGAACCCTAAACGTGGCGTTCCCACTCGCAGCTTGCCAGGTTGTGGCCGTGTGCTACTGCGGCATGGTTTCGCCCCAGGACTCTGGGCCTTAGAGGGCCCCGAGAATTATTGATTTTGGGTTTGGTTTTTTGTAGAGCTATAAAGTATACGCTCTAAGGGTTTAGGGTGCTCGTTTCAGCCTGAATCAACGCTGTGGGGGGCGTTCGGCATCGCAGTAACTACCGCTTGACCCTAGAGCTGTTGAGGATGAGTGTGAAAGCTCTTCTTTCTGGATCTTTGGCGGCCTCATGACCATTCAAGGTCCAGAAGGCAGGGCTTCAGTTGGCTTCAGGTTTAGGGGCCTAGCCGTTCAAAACCCGGGTCTGGATAGAATGCAGGTCCGAAATCCTCAACTTCAAGACTTTAAAGCTCAAACTTCTCAGAATTCTGCGTGGGAACCTTGAAAGGTGGCCGCAACTTCATCTTCCCCACGAACGTGGCCTGGAGCTCGGCTTCTTCAGGATGCGTCGTTCGTGGGATCCCCTCGCTTGATGGCCTGCTTCCGTCGTGGAGCGCACACGCTGTCTTCCAAGGTCGTCAAGTTTGACCTGAAAGGATGGGGGTTCAGTGGCTCCGGCGAGTTACTGCCAATGCTGCTGTTTCACCACGATGGCATGTGCAGCGCGTCGCTTTTGCTGTCTGCCTGGTGTGTCGTGTTGAGAGTAGCTACAGTGCTACCACGAAGTCATGCCTGCGTGGTATTGCAGCACAGGGGCGCTGGTCATTCACGAGTCCGCCCATGTTCCGACAGGCCCGAACGACAAGATTCGCATCATCCCTGCGACATCAGCGTGTTCGGGCAGCGGGCTCGGGCTTTTCACACAGAGTTGAGTCGCGGGCATCTCGGAAACCGTGAGTTTGGTCACCAGCCAGTCTGGTTTCTTCTTTTTCTGGCGGTCGTTTTTGTTGGTCCTTGTTCGTTGGCCTGGTCTGCCGGTGCGTGGTGGGATTTTTTCCCCTGGTGTCTCTTGCATATGACGTGTCAACCAACAGTGTGCATCAAAAGACGTTAGGGTTGTTCGGGAGATGAATAGGAAGCTTCGCACTGGGCTTGCTTCGAGCTGCAGCAGGGTTTAAACTTCATGCCGAAGGCAGTGCCATCATGGCACCGGAAACCACTGCAGCAAAGCAAATGCTTGTGAGATTTAACTTGCAACTGCCAGGCCCCCTGTCGTTGAACAATTGCCTGGCGCGTCCTATCAAAGCTTAGCGCACCCCGAACCCACCCCAGACCCCCCCACACCCCCTACACCCCGCTTCCCCCCAGACCCCCAGACCCCCCGCCCCCCAGCCCCAGCCCCAGCCCCAGCCCCAGCCCCAGCCCCGTTTTTGAAAGACACAAGTCCCGCACAAACTACCTTAGCCACAGTCAGCCCAATGTCCCAACCCCCTGAGCCGCCGAGACAACAACAACGATCCCAACTCCTACACCGGCTTCAAAGTACGCTGTCCCGCCGTCGACGGCAACGGCTGCAGGCGCAGAGACCTGGTTGCGGGCTTGTAAGGAACCTTAAACACCACGAGCGGCGGGCCGATTCAGGGGTTCCGGGCTATGGATTCGGGATGCTTTGGGGGGGGCGTTCTTGTTGACTTTGGGACCCAAGAGCCCTCCGGGTGTTGGGCTCATGGGACTGAACAAACTGCCTGACATCTTCAACGTGCAGAGCTCCTCAAATTCCCGAGCGTATAAGTTATATAAGTGCCAAGGCAGGTTCAGGGCATCGGGCCGAACTAGGGATAATTCGAGTGTACGCCTCAATGTCTCTACGGTAATGCGACTGATGGTTCGCTGGCTCACTCGGCCCGCCTGGCATGGAGCAGTCGACCCTTCAACGCACCCTTCCCCAGCCTGAACTCCTTTGTCCATAGCTAACCGAAGCCCTCAACCAAAAGCACTGCTTCCCGACTTCCAAAACCCCAAAGCCGAAAACTGAAACCCTAAGCCCTTGTACTGGGCCACATCTGGGGGCTTACGAACATCAGGGACCCCTCTAGAACAGACCCCCACACAGTAGGATTCCCTTATGATAAGGACCCCAATAAGGTACCCGCAATTTCAGAGACTCCCATCTCGTCTCGAAGGCAAGCGGGACTCGCTGAGTCAATCGACACCAATGTCATGACGGCCGCCGACATCGGGGTCTACATCGAGCGTGTTGGGCCCTCGACTTCGGGGGCTTTTGGGCAGGGGTTTTGGGGGTTAGCGAAAGTTTAGGGGTTTTAAGGTCTTTAGCGCGTTTGAGGGGTTTACTCTATGTTACACGTTTTGATTTTGAGGGGATTCAGGAGGTTCGGGAGGTCACGCAAAGCCTTCTGTCCTCCAAAACCCCTGCAAACCCGTGGTCTGATTTGCAACACATCCCAGAACCAAGATCAAATCTTTGGTTCCAGAGCCCAGAACCCACATCCACTCAAGTCTCACACCCTCACCCCTACACAGTACACGGCCCACCCACTCGAGAGAGTCTTGCGGCGTGGGTCGCGAAGAGCTTCTCTTTTCTATCTGCGGAAGAGTTGAGGGTTGATCAGGAAGCGGGTCAGGATGATTCAGGTTGAGTCTTCCCAGGCTTGGCATGCCCTGCGAAGAGAAATCTTTTGAGCCGCCACGCTCTCTAAACTTGGCCGAACGACCCTCTGAAAAACCCCCGAGGTGGACGTTGGACAGACAAGCAGCATCCTGACCTTCTCGGTTCGCAGCTTAAGCCGCTGGCTTCATGGCATTTTACCAGAGCAGCTGCTGGTTTGTCTGACAGAGAGGTGTCATCCGGGTGTGAAGCACCTGTGCAGGATGTCATCAACACGCACCTGACCAGCGATCCGGAGTTTGGCCAAGACATCGTCACGTGGCTTGGCTGTTCGGAAACGGGGCTCTTGCAATGCTTCTAGGTGCCTACACGAACAGAGCATGCTGATGGAACACTAGAGGTGTGACATGGTGTGACCGTATGCGCAGCTGTGATGCTGGGAATTCCTGGGCGAATCCTGAGAGTCGACAGCCCTGTGGGTTCAACTTGGTCAGCGCTTGGGCTAGGTAAGGGTCAAGTTATTTCAACAAGCATGTACCATCGTCTCGACAAGCAGCTGCGAGAAGTATGACTGGCTGGGTGGTCTCGACTGAGGAATGCCTTGGGAGCTCGATTCGGGTTCAGGGATCTAGTTGGAAAGGAGCGAGTCAAAGAGGGAAAGGGGAGAGGGGAGAAGGGGGGGGAGCCCGAGCGAGCGAGGATCGATCTGGAGCGAATCATGGTGAATGGAAAGGCCGTCCAATGCGTTTAGCACAGCTTTGTCGTTGCTGGGGTTACGGCAGGTATGCAGCAGGAAGAGTAGCCACCGTTCCTTCTGCCTACTACTGCCTTTTATGGGTTGTGGCGATGCGGGATTCGATGAACGTGCATTTCCAGAATCCGAAACCCAAAAGCCTCAATTCGTGCAGATTATTCAAACTCCTGAAATCGCAAACCCCAAGTGGGTGTAGTTCGTAGCGATCATTTTGGCTGCCCCAACCTTGACAGGATGTGGTAGTCATAGGGTCGACATTTGTAAGGCTGGGTAGCCACGTGACGACTTTGCATCAGGGTTCAGGAGCTGCTTCAGTGGGTTTACGGCTCAGGCTTTCCGAATTTACCCTAGGTCCAAACCCCCCAAACCCGCAACATCTCAGTCTCCAAACGTTATGCTTGGTCGGTACCTGGTTGGCCTTGACCGGCCAGAAACCCGCGACAGCAAAACCCCAGATCCGCCCCTGAACCCATCGCTTTTTGGGTTCCTCGGCGGTGCTTTGCAAAGAAAGCCTGGACGGCCTACTGCAAAAGTACCTGGGCAGGGAGGGATCCAAGCCTCTAAACCCTAGACTGCACCCTGTTTCCCGCGCAGATGATGACCAGCGCCCAGCTTACGGCCACGGAGCGCCACGAGGCCAACAAGCTCGCTGGCCTGTCCGGCGTCTCAGTCTTTCAGGATTAGGGTTGAAACCTGCCCCCCCCCCCCCCCCCGTTGGGCTTTTTGAGCTACAGTATCCTCAAGGAGCCCTATAAACCCCCAAACCCGAATGTTTAGGACTCCAGGGTTCAATGTCGGAGCCCAAGCCGGAGATGCTAATGCAAGGTTCATGGGTAGTTGGATGCAGGTTCTGCACACCTCGAAAAATGGTTGGACCATTTTCTGCCCTAGTGGCCCTACTAAAGCTCAAGCAACCGTGGTTTGAACCCCTAAGCTGCGCTAAGCCCTAGTACCCCTAAACCATAGCAATCCTGCAATTCCAAAGTGAAGGTCTACCAACCTCTCCCCTTCCGCCGAAACAGCAATCAAATCGCCCCTAGTTTGGTGGAAGTGCACTTATGAAGTCCCCTTTGTCGTTTACTTCTTCCTGGGCCGGGATTTTGGGGATTTTGACTATAAAAGGTTCAATCGTAGCCGTACTTCCTGGTGCTGTTCAGAAGCAGAAATTAAGATACCATAGTTTGCGCACCATATCTCAATAGTATGGCAACTTAACAGCTCAAGTTCTTTGATCTTAAGCCAGCTTCTGTCACAAGCACCTCGGCAGTCTCTGTGCACTGTGGGCTTTGTGCAGCGTGGACAGAGGAGGGCAGGGGAAGAAGGCGGCTTTTGAGGTTTCTGTGGGGGTGTTCAGAATGCTGCCGGCAAAAAGGCGAATCCTCAACACTCGATGTGCTACGCCAAACACAATTCCGGGGTTTGTTTTTCAAAGCTACTGCTGCACGCGCCCAACCAATTCACCTCTGAGGTATGAGTTTCAGGACACATTCAGCCCAGCACGGTGCTCAGAGCAGGGCATCAACTTTTGATCTAGACACGATGGAAGCAGTTTGTTGCCGGCGCCCGTGACGCAAGCTGCCCGCTTCGAGATGATCTTTCGCAGGGGCCAATCGAGACCTACCAGGTAGGACATCGCGCCGGGGTCTGAGATGCGCATTCGAATGGTTGCTATCATGCTGGACTGATGGGCAAACAACAACTAATTGCACCAAGTCAAAGCACGATATGAGAACAGGCTTCGGCAGCGCCGCTTGTCTGGCACCCCTTTTTGTTGTCTCATATTCCATGCGATATGGTGCAAAGTCATGAGATGCTCATGCCTACTGCAGCAGTCTCGAAACCATGACGGCTGCACACTACTAGATGCCCTGTCCCTGACCACATCCTGACCAATTGTGATGATCGTACTGGAAATACCGAAGTTACATGGTCGGTGATGATAGGAGTGAGCAGGGCATTGCGCTACTGATATGGCCAGGCAGCAATTGCACTGTCACCTTATCAGACGGACAACCGTCGAGCCTGATAGAATCTGCATAGTGACCATCATAATCTGCTGTTAGCATGTGTATCAGTGATTTAGGGTTTAGGGTTTAGGGATTAGGGGTTACACCATTGTTCTCTGCAGGTGCTTGGACAGACAGATACCCGTCAGCCCCGCACTTGGCTTCAAATGCGCACGGTACACGATACAGGCATGCTCTGAGAGGCCGCTTTATGTGGGGGGTTTACGAAAAAGGGAGGTGCCCCCTTCATACCCCAAATAAGAAAAGAACCCCCTTAAAGGGATCCCAAAAGGAAACCCCCCCCCCCCCCCCCCCCCTTCGCCATTTTCGGAAATCCCATGTCTGGAGATGGTGTTAAAGCATGGATTTGCGGGCTCTGCTTTGGTGCTTGCAGCCTCCGATTTCAGGATGATGATCCCGCAGGGCTGGAGCAGCACGGCCTCTAGGCTGCAGCAAGAAGGGATGGCAGCTGCATGATGGGGAGATTTTTGGTCTTAGTTTTGCGGGCACGGTCTCTTTTTCTCGTCTCAACCGGGCAACATCGACATGATCCGCATCTCAGGAGGCTTTCCCCTTCACCATCTCGCCGTTCACCTTTGTCGACTCGCAGGGTCATTGGATCAGGCAGGTGGGCTACACCATCCTACGCCGTTTTGTGGGTTTGCCATGCAGTGTTTTCCCTTTCCCCGAATTGATTTCTGAAATGCCCAAAGCTGTGAAGAGAGTCCAGGCTGTTTTGGGCAGTTTTGCTCTAAGGGGGAGGGGGTAAGCTCTGCCCATTCCGAGGACTCGGGTGCGGTTGTTGGTATTGTGCAGGTTGGACGTTTCTTAGGGTTTAGCTTTTGTTGTGCCTTTCTGGGTGCTGCTGTGACATGAGTGTGATGCGCCGACATGAGTCTTTTCAACGCCTTCTTGACAACCCTGGGCCATCAAACCGAATGAGGCCATTATGATTCTCCATGATTCCCTGATGATCGGAAGCAGCGACAGGCGTAACAAGTTGGACTCCAACGAGGAGATCAAGGGCACGGAGGTGGGAGGGCTTCCGGCTTTGGGGAGTTGTGCGTTGAGTCCATCGATCGCCCATGCTAGGAATTTTGGGCGTGGGGTGTGCGAGCGAAGTGATCCTTGTGTAGCTTCACGGGGTACCCTAAATATTATGCGCCGCATTGTAATAGGGATCCAAAAAGGGACCATAACTTTGACAATCACCCACTTGTGTCTTGATGGGGGGGGAGGAGGCAGGGACTAATTTAAACGACTTGCTCGCGTGCCAGTCCGCTTCGAACCTGAAGCTGTGCTGGGGCATCTGGTCCAACGGAGCGCCAAAGCTTCCCGGCAGCATTCGCAAGGGGGCGAGGGGGGGGGGGGGGGTTCATCCGGGCATTCCGGTTTTTGCGCCGTCATACTAATCCTAAACAACTTAAGTGGAATTGCAAGGCTGTGAGTCGTTGAGCTCCCTTGATCCCTGAATCTATAAGTAGCAAAACCTGCAACCCATTGGGGTTTTAGAGATATCGATCTTGTAAAGAGTTCTGAAGAGCCCTCAGTGCGGGTCCTTCGAATGATGCAGAACTCTCACTGGAAGAGGGTTTCGGAGTGGGTGCGATGTCTACTTGCCAATCTGGACGTGCATCTTCGGCAGGCCCCATCGCATCTGTGCAGTCCCCTTATTAACTCGGTAGGTTTCTGTGCTCCGAGAAAGAAGGGCCGATGTGAAGCAGGGTGTATATTGCTGTTATCGGTGAGTGTATATAAGGTTCCTTTTTGATATTGGTGAGTGTTTGTACTGGGTGTCCTCTTGGGGGTACATGAAATGTCCTCTTGGGGGTACATGAAATATACACCCTACTTCATGTGACTAAAACCGCCCCCGGCAACCCCCAAGTCCAGTTGCCGTCACCTCTTCGAGGTTCTACCACGAGGCAGGCACCGTGAACTTCGAGGATCCGCCTCCCATGGCAGAAGCCACGGTGAGCCAAGGGCCCAGTTGGTTCAGGGGGTTTAGGGTTTAGGGTTTGGGGTTTAGGGGTTTAAGGGTTTTGGGGTTTAGGGGTGAGGAAGGAGTTTAGGATGTCAAGGAATGTCAAGGAATGTGTAGGGTCCAGGCTCAGCTTGGCTGCGGGTTTCGGCTCCCGTGTTCGGGTGCATAAGTTGGTTTTAGGGAGCCTTTCGTGCTTGGCCCCCGGGCCCTCGAGGGTTTTCGGGATGTGGTGAGGCTACGGTGCCCCCGGTTTCTTCATGAAGGTTCAAAAGGTGGTTTTAAAGACTGAATCTTGAATCAGCATCGCTTTTTGTGACCATATAGGGGATGTAGCAGGAGTCTGCATGTGCAGAGAACGGGGTCACCTAGAATTTTTAGGAGGATGGAGCCCCAAAGTCCCAAAGCGTCCCCTGGCTGAAGCAGATCCCAGGTCTCTCCACCAAGATGCAGGAAGCCGTGGCTCCCGTGATCATCGCCTTCAAGACGACAGCCACATGCTCAGACCTACCAGCCCTTCCTCTTCGATGGATTTCTGAAAGACTATGATGCCAGCCTGAGGCCAGCCGGTCCGAGTATGCCACGCCCACCGGGTCCCCATGCTCAGAGTGCTTGGATTGATGGCCGTCATGACGTGCATGTCAGGGCCAAGGGGGTTTTTGTTCGTTTTGGTGGTGCAGCCGAGCTGTTTCGCCTGCGTGCCTTCACAACTGTGGGCTGGACTCACCTGAGGCAAACCATGCTGATGCTGCGTTTCATGGACGTGAGCACGAAGCCTCTTGCTCAAAGCTTTGCCGACATGGGAAGGTTGGCTTTCAAAGGCAATGCCTTCCTAAACCCGGAGCCCAGCAACCGCAAGCACCGTAAGTCCCGAGATTGCCTGCAATGAAAGCATGCCCTCCTGGAGCCCTCCAAACCCTAAACCCTGCTCCAGAGGTGTCGGATCCCTTCCAAAGCACACTTGCCGTTGTGTGGTTCCTTGTTTTTGCGGGTGGTTTCGGTCTTGAGCGTTGGCGGGTTGGGGTGGGCGCTGGGCGAAGGTGGAGGGCTTCTGAGTGCGGGTTGCGGGCTAGAAGAGCCGCTGCTCGAGCACAACCAAACCCAGGAGCCTGCTGGCACTACGCATTCACAGCTTGTGAGGTCTAAGGATTGAGAGCTTGTTCACCGTGTCTCCGAAGCCCCAACTTCTTTATCTGCCAGGGCGGGCGGGGGGAGGTTTCTCTTGAGCACTCAGGCTGGAGCCATTCTTCTACTCCACGGAGCAGGGCATCCGAGGCGTCTACGCCATGCCACCCTACCAGGCGCGGCAAGCGCTGCCAAGCTTGAGCCGAAGCTCCGATATTCCGGGTTTTAATGTTTTTGGGGGTTTAGGGATGTAGTCCCTATTAGCCCCCAAATAATGCCTAAATATCCCCTAAGGTCCCTTATAAGGGTCCCTCCTTTAGTCCCCTTGAGTTTAGGTAAACCGAGTCAACGGCGCGTGTGCAAGGAAGTCACGAAGGCCCAGCAGAAGCAGCATGCGGGGCACCCAGTCGAATGAAGCGTTGTCACAACTCCGGGCCAAGCTGTTCTGCATGTCCTGTTGCTTTAATAAAGATGCAGGATTTGTTCTAAGCCTGTTCCCCCGCCTCTACCGTTCTAATGCTGGCCGCACGTCCATGCAACGACACGACACAGGATCTAAGTTGCACATGTGGGCCGTGTCTGGAGAGGAAGGTCTGCCTGCGAAATTTGATGCGCCATTTCTTTCCTGATCAGTAGCATCGAGGCTTGCGTCGAGGTTCCTGGCTGTTGGTGTGAACGGGAAGTGAACGCCATGCCACTATTAGGTTCGACGATCCACGTCAAATCATACGCATTGAGGTGTGTGGCAAGATCTTTACCGAGTTCTGGTCCAGTCACTCGGAGGCTCGTCACAGACATCTGGCTCTAACCGCCTTCGTCTCTTCCGGGGCCTCGCTGGACCTCCGAACTTTGCACAGACACCTCCGGAATTCCTTTGCGTTGTTGCGCTTGATCGACTGAAGCTTGCTTAGCTGCCTTGCCTGCCTGTACAGGGCTTTCCCATGCCTGTCGGCTGCTTCTACACGCAGAAGCTTTCGGATCTGCCGACGACCGGAGGCAGGAGCCTCAAACTCGGGTTGAGGTCTCTTCATTGGTGGTTCCGAAAGACCATATGAGTGTCGGCAAGCAGCCTTTGAGCCATAATGGTGATTATCGGGACAGGGTCTTAGAAACAAGCAGCAGAGTGCTCAAGCAGGCTCCCAAGTTGTCCATGCTTTTTCGGAATTTTCTGGCTTCTGGAAGTCGCGTCCCTCCTGTTCCCTCCTCTTCCAGTCCTTCACAAGGCAATCCAACTGTTAATGTTTGAGATTTTGGCTCCGACTGGAGTCTTGGACCAGGTACTGCAACCCCCTTAGCTAGACCCAGCATACCCTGATGCCAGAGCAGCCCTGAAGCCGGGCTCCTAAACAGAGTTCCGCCATGCTCTCAATACATGACAGCCCTACGCAGCAGGTTCCGTCTTCTTCCGCGAGCTCTACATCACCTTCGGGGCGCCCGGGCAAAACCTTGCCGGTTGAGTTGCTAGGGTTTCGACATGTTCCGGGGCGCGCGGTAGTCGTGTGGATCTTATGATGTCTGCGCGCGGTTGCAGGATCCTCGCCCTACAGCTTCATGTGGTAGTACGAGCCGAAAGGATCATTGGATTGGTCAATTGATGAAAGTGGAGCTGCAGTCCGAAAGCTCTGAAGCCCCTGCACCCTGAAACCCTTCGGATTACATGTATGTTCCTTGTCTAAGGAGGGGATTAGTTTGGTACAACCGCCGCTAACTCACTAAGGAATCGCTTCTGCTGAAGTGCTGTTTTGGGGACGGTTGCTAGCGTTGAAGAACTGAAACGTACAAGGAGAGAAATGGGTTGCGAGAGAACACCGAGTACCACATTGTGCTGAATGCCGTTCCTCGGCTGCACAACCCATCGATGGACATCGTGGCAGGCTTGGATATTAGTGTATTAGTGCAGTGCCCCGGTTGCTTTCGGTTAGTCCCTAAGAATCACACAAGCCCAAGGCAATATTTGTTGAGGAGATTTCTTCCTACCCTCATCGACTGACTCAAGACGCAGCACTCAAGGGCGCAAACCTGTACTTTATCTTCGCTGCTGAGCATATATGTAACCCTTCAACCCTAATTGGGTACTATACCCCCTCTGGGCGCCCCACGTCACGGTCAGCCTTCTTCTCCCTAGAAGGTCTCTGGAATCTGATGTACACCTCTGCCCCTATGCAACCCCCAGCATAGGGACCTTACGGGTAGGCTTAGAAGATATCCGGGGGTGTGTTGCGAGGGCAAGGGTGAATGATGCTGCCAGGGGGTCGGTCCATCCAACAAGCCTGTGGGTAGGAAATCCAGAACTTCAACGCGGGCGACCTGCTTGTGGACATCTATGCCATGTGTGCGGGCTTCACTGGCTGCTCGAGGCAGCCCGGTTGCTTCCCGGGGTGAATGCCTGGGGCTGACGGAACCCAAGTCCTAAACCCAGCAACTCATCAAGCTGTGGTTTGGAGCTCTGCCGCGTGAGATTTTGTCTGTGTTGCTTGGGGTCGTTTTCTTGTTATGCTTGTTCGGTTGTGTGTTGTTTTACTGCGTGGTGGCTGTGTTGTTCCGACGTGTGTGGGTGCGGCTGGTCGGTGCATATGTGTGGATACATGGCTGACTTGCTCTCCTGCTTCTTTGTTTGGTTGCACTCCTGCCCCAGACTTTGAGTACACTTTACCGAACACCAGGATGGGAGGGGGCCTGAAACTGCCTTAGAACTCGAAACCATAAACCTCACAAGACCCGAAACCCCTGCACCAAAACCCTGAAACCCCAAACACGATTCAAGGATCCTAGAGGATTTGTGGCAGCGAGCCAGGCCATACCAAGTCTTCGAGAAGGGCTCGGCGCACGTTGCAGACTCAGGGGGGGGGTCTTCTTTTTGGGGCTTAGGGCTCAGGGCATAGGATTCTGTTTTTGCAGACGCTTGTTGTTTGCAAAGTTGTTTGTGGGTAGGACCTTGCGTTAGTTCACTGAAGCTAGGGTTGAGGGTTTTAGGGCACGCCTCTGAACCATGGCCGAGCCCCAAGATCCCATTGCCAGCACCCGTAGCCTAAACTCCTAGAATCCGAGAACCTAAGCCCCAAGCATCCCTAAACCCGAAACCCTAAGCTTCAAGAAGCAACCTCAGCGAGCCGGGACCATGCCCCACCATGTTCAGAGCAGGGCTTACTGATGTTTGAGGGTTTCGATCGGTTTCTGACTCGTTCCTAGTAGAGAATTCAGGGAACTCTCATGGAACCCCTGACAAGGAATACGGGATGACCCGATTTCCCTACTTAGAACAGGGCAAGGATAGGGGTGCGAACGCCCGCCCATCTCTCAATTCAAGCCCTAAGCCCTCAACCGAAACTACCCTAAGCAACAGCCCTCCGGCGAAAGGAAGCCCCTCAAACCTGAATCTGAAATCCTCAACCCTTAACCCCAAACACCTCGATAATCAGGGTTTAGGGTTAGGGTTTATGGTTTAGGGTTTAGGGTTTAGGGTTTAGGGCTAGTTTGCCCTCCCGCCGCTTTTGCAAAGCATTTTCAGGCCTCCCGCGCCACCGAAATCAAGGCTACGGCTGCCGAGCCGCAGTTTTCCCTGACGGCCGGGATCTCGAAAAGGGGTGCTCTTGTTTTTTTTTTGGGTGTGTGTGTGTGTGTGTGTTTTGTTAGTTTTATGGGGTTTAGGATGTAGGGTTTAGGGTTATTGAGGTGTTCATTGAGGGCTGGTTTTGTGGTCTTGAGGGAGGTTTGGCGGTTTAGAGGGTTCGGCAGTTAAGGGGGTTTGACCGCAACTTTTCAATGTGCTTGACACCCTCAAACGTTTTGAGTCTTATGAACAGGCTTTCCCTGATTGAGGGTTTAGGGCGGACCCCCAGTTTCGAAGACACTTAAAATTACAAGCATCCCTGCTTCCATCACATGTGGTCAAGGGACTGCGAGTATTCCGTCTATCCGTCTTTGGGTCTCTTTGTCTTGCGTGTTCCTGCTCCGTGTTACCGCTGACCACTGTTAATCACCTCCCAAATAAGGACTTTTTACCTGGCAGGTAGAGAGAAGTAGGCAGACAGCCCGGTAGGGTTGGGCCAGGCGGAGGCAGCCCAAATAAAGCCCTAGAGCTTGCGTCCGTGGTGGCGGTTATAGCTTCTCCTTGTTGGAATGTCACCTGCTATGAAAGCCCTTTTTGACTTAGTAAGTAGGGTCAGTAAGGTGGGTTATGGGGATTATAAGAAGGTTTCTAGGGGGATACTAAGTAGGCACCCTAAGCCGAGCTCGAAATCCAGGATGGCTTCTTGATCCAGCGTGGAAACCCTTTGGATGGGGCCATTCACTTAGATGCTTCAGACATTCCCCGGAGTGGCTGCGCCTGAACTTCTTCTTTCCAGGCCGGAGTGAGCGGAGGGTGTCTGAAAGCCAAGGTGCTGAGCCTGTCGGAGCTGAACATCTTGCAGGACGGATGCTTGTCTTAGCCCAACTTGTTCTGGATCTCTGTATCTTCGAAGCTGCTGTTTTCTGCCTGCGTCTTATGGGCATATTCGCAGCCATGCGCCTTGTGCAGATCCAGCTCAAGGGCCAGAGTGGTGTGCGAGCCATTGTCAAGGAGGCCTGGACAACCCAAGCTGCCAAAAAACTCATGCCCTGAAGCTGCCTCGTGCCAGGTCAGTGCCAGGACTCTTAACTTTATGTTCCGAGATTCTGTGGCTGCCAGTCCCTGATCCGGATGTACATGTGGCCGTTGACGGCCTGGGACGTCGGTGCTCATCTCAGGGAGGACCCGCATTGCTGATCGCCCTGCGTTCGATTTTCGTTTGAAATGTCCTTGCGCAAGCTCGTGCCGTCCCTACTTGTATTTCCCAATTGCTTGTCAAGAGGCACCATTGTACCAGTGCCGCTTCGACAGTCGTCTTTCGATGTTCTATGCACAACTAAAATGTCTGCCAAATGTATGCTTGCACTACGGCACCACGTATTGGAAGGCTTCCTGCTTAGGGTCTGTGAAAGAATGAGGTCGGGAAGCGCAGAGGTTTGAGTATGCGAGTGTATGCACTCGTTCTTATCTCTAAGCCATCCAACGTCCTTTATCCGTATGGTAGTAAGCCCGTACTCCTTTGTTTTTGAGTGGAGGCTCTTTACTACCCCTGCAGCTTAGTAGGCGATTCTCGGGATCTTGGAGTGCCATAGAGCAGAGCGCAACGGCGAAAAAGCAGACAAGGGAAGCAAGCAACGGCACAGACCACAACCAGAACAACCAGAAAGCAGAGCACGGAACGAGGATTAGCTGAAGGTTGGTGAAACTATAGAAGCCTTCTCTCAGTACGGCTTGTTCAGGTCAAAGTTCCCAGCGCCAATCGATTTTGCGTGTTTCTCTTCCATGTAGCAGCCAATGCCCCTCAGCCAGACGACTCAAAAACTGACCTTGCTTCGTCCTCGAGGCCTTGTAGTAAGACCAAACGATTGAGGTACTGCTTCCTGTGTGGCCGAGTGCATCCCCTACTACGCAGCCCCGCCTGAGTGCCCGCGGCCGAGACTGGGGAAAGGCTTCAGCTTGGTTGCTCTTCTCCCTAAACCTCCTGGAAACCCTCCAGTCGACATCGCAGGTTCCGGTTCTTCTCCCAACCCTAAACTTTAGCCCTCAACCCTAAATCGCCCTAAGCCCTGAACCCTTAGATTCCTTAGATCTCTGCTGGGTTTGGAAGGTTGAGCTCAGGGACTTGGGGTCTTCGCCTGAAGTTGCTTCGCCGCGTGGCTCCGCTCACTGAAGTTCCCCATGACATGAACCTCAGAAGCAATCTGGTGATTTCTCTAAATTGTGGCCTCTTTTGGGGTCCTGATTATAAGTCGGCGCCTCTTATTTAGGGTACCCAATAAGGGACGTTTAAAGCTGCAAGTACGTCCCCGAATACGGCCATAGCCGGTTAGAGCTCTAAACCCTTGCTTATCCACCCGGTTGCCTCCTTTTAGGCAAACGCCACGCACCAGTCCGTGGTGGTTTCTGCAAGGCTTACAGAACATGGCCCAAGTACAGGCGCAGGGCACGTCGCAGGCCCACCTTGAAAGCGACGGAGAAGTCGAGGATGAACTCGACGCTCGGCCAGACCTCACCGCGTGTCTCCCTGGATATTCTTACGAGGACGTCTTCATGCGCAGAGAGCGCACCTTCCCAGTGCAAGAGGGAGGTCCCCAGCTGCATGTCCTACAAAGGTTCATGGAGCTTGATGGTACAGCTGGTACAGTGTGGCCTGTCACGGAAGTGTTCATGCGAGAGTACCGGTCCCTTTTAGATCGAGGTCTCTGGGACGTTCGGGACAAGGGCGTGTTGGAGCTGGGTAGCGGTACCGGTGTTTTGGCCATGTTCTTGGCGTACCATCACGCAACTAGGATTCCCAGAGGTGCCCTTTCCTTCTTCTCCCTTTTTCAGGTGCTAGTCACTGTTACCTAGTCTCTTGGAGTCCCATAGCTCAATCAGAGCATTCCTGCCGTTTGCATGTCTGGCCGTACAACCAAGGCAAAGGGAGTTGTAGCCACGGATGTCGGGGAGGGGCTGGACCTGCTACGAAGAAACCTCTCCCGCCAAGAGAACGTAGCCGCCCTGGGCAGTCGTCATTCGGCCTTGCGAAGTGCCCAGCTGCGGTGGGACGAGGGTGCCGCCGAGGATCTTGCCCTGATCCGTAGCGATTGTGACAGTGAGGATGGCTTCCACCTGGACACCGTGATCGTCTTTGATGCCCTGTACAACCAAGATGCGCTGGGGTCCCTCTGTGAGGTGATCAGGAGAATCAGCGACCTTTTTGGGTCAGTTCGAGCTCTCGTGGTAGGATACCAGGATCGGCAGCCCGAGGTGGAGGCGCGAGGACTTCACATGGTACAGGAGGGCTTTCTCGCGGGAGAAAGCGGGCGCGTGAGGCGGCTCTTCGATCTTGCGCCAGTGCATGCCATCATCATCGAGAAGATGTCCCCCTAGCTCGCCCCCTGCTGCAGGGGAACAGGTTGGCGGCAAAGTACAAGACTTCGACTTCGACCATCTTCATCTCCTGCGAGGAGTATGTAGCGGCTGTGGTGGCGGCCGACTCTTGTGGTTCTTGAATCCAGCGCCGCCTTCTTTTGGAGCGTTGCGAGAAGGGCCTCGTGCACCTGGGGAGTGATCCACGGCTGAGGTGGAAGGCATCGGATTGAAGAAGTTCCGAGCGCAGAACCTGAAACCTCACAAGCAAAGAAGAGTCGGCCGGACAGGGCCGGAGTCTGTGGGGTCCGGCTACCTGCCATAAAGGGAACCCAAAGAACAATGTGTACTGTACCTGGTCCCTGAGTGGTTAACAATATGGAGGCGCGTTGTTTCTCGCGCCAGGCTTCTTCCAGTGCGAACCCTGCACCAAAATTTTAAGGGTCCGCCTGATTGCCGTCCCTGCACTAGTTATCTAGTTGGAGCACTCGCATCTCGCATCTTGCGCAATGCAGATTCATGCAGTGGGGACGTTGAGATCCGGGGCACGTGATGTTAGCTGTGTGCCGAGCTGCTCGGAGCCCCCACACCCCGAAACCATCAGAGACCTAACCCTAAACCCTAAACCCTAAACCCTAAACCCTAAACCCTAAACCCTAAACCCTAAACCCTAAACCCTAAACCCTAAACCCGACCTTCTGTGACCCAGGCAACGGCCTCGTTGGCTGCGACTCAGAAGAGGTGGTGGCCGGCAGTGGCCGAAGGCTCCGGGGATTTGGGGCTTTGGCAGTAGGAGTTTGGACTGAGTTTAGGGTTTAGGGTTTAGAGTTTAGGGTTATTCTGCAGATGCTTGTTTCAAGCTTGGCCTCGCTATTTCACTTTCGGGCTGGTGGCCCCCGGAGCCTTCTAGGAACATTGTGAAGATCACCCTCCCCACGGAGATGAGCAGCATCGATGAGACGACCACGCACACCATCAAGGCCTTGCAGCCTTCTTCCATTTGAATTCCAGGGTTTTAGACGAAGATCCAAGTGTTCCTTCACGCATGATCAATTCCTGGCAGATCAGCGGCTTGACCCTCCCCATGCAGGGCTTCTTCGCCACACGGGCCTGCAGCTTAGGATCTGCATGATCCTTCACAAGTCGGGGCAGAACATGATTTTGCACAGAGAGTTCTCGACTGAGCACTTGAAGGCGATGTAGCAAGACACCCTGATGCGAATAATCTTCAGTTCAGTACATCAAGGGGCGATGGAGTTGCTAGGCCGCTTTCGGTACAGGCCGAATGCCAGTGTAGGTTCGCACCCAGGCAGGTTCGGAACCCAGATTCGAACAACCTGGGTCAATTAATTTGGGGTTTGAACCCAGGTTTAACGTAGGTTCGAACTGGAGTTTTGAACCTGAGTCAATGTGCTAGAAGCTTGAACCTGAGTTTGAGAACCGGGTTCCAACCTGGGCGCGATTGCAAAACCCCGTGCTGCCAGTTTGGCGTTCAGCTGACGCGGCCCGACGACACGGCGCCCTACTACATCCAGTCCTCAGGATTCCATCCAGACTCTCAACCCTAAAGTTTTCATTCCGAGGTCAGCAGGTTCAACCACAGGGAACCCCGAGCTAAGCTCTGCAGGAATCGCTTTAAGTGCCGCCGTACACTAGTAACTAGCCCCGCAAGCTCTAACTTCGGGTTCGCAGAAACACGAGTTTCGATGGCTGCCAGGACTCATCATGAAGGTCCCGGAGCCGGGAGCAACCACAGGCCCGGCAAAGATTCTGGCATGAGGTTGAGGGTTTACGGTTCAGGGAGCTCTGAGGGACCGCGCTGGATTTTAAACCACGCGCCAGGGGGTCTGCATGCGGCGTGCATGGTGACAGGCCGCCTTGTCATCAGCGACCGCTCTGGCTATGGGCCCCTGCCGTTCAAGGCATCTGCAGACTCTGCTGTGCAAGCATTCTGTGCAGCATCACGCTTGAAAGGCTCGTCGGAATCCAGGGCAGAAGGAGTCTAATGCTGCAGTACAGCACGGTTGGGGTTTTGTGTGTTTCAGGAGTGCCGAACGCAGACGAGCTGGGAAGGGGGTAATTTTCGCCTGGAACTCTGGCACCGCTGCACCAATAATTGTTGCTGTCCGGACATCTTTGCCTTGATCAAACCGCTCTGACGTGCGACTTGTTATCGTGGTTGGAACCAGTCGCACAATTAGTTACACTGTCGCTCCGAGTGCCCTCATGAAATGGCAGCCCCTATGGCAGGGAGATTCCAGCAACGTGCTGTACTTCCGCTTGAAGCTTGGGGCCACGGTGCGGCCCACGGAGTGAAGTGACCTCTCTTTTGCTCAGTTGCAGGGGGGGCCTAGTTTGTGGATAAAGCGGAGGGCGCTACATTAGATACTTTATGGCATTGCAGGAGCTATAAGGGTTGTAGTGGTTCATAGGGGTTGAGGACTTCTCGCCGGGCGAGAGCTGGCAGTTGCAAGAATGAGAGCAGGCGCAGTTTTCAAGCAACCCTGAACCCGAAACCTAAACTCCTAAACTTGTGCAAACAAGGGATCGGCGCATTGCCTTTGATACGGTAGATCATGAATCTATGCTAATCGTGCTAGAGTGCTTGGGAGTACTCCGCCAATAGGCGGATGAAACAAGTTAATGTACACTGACCAAGTTTGTCTGCGCAAGGGCACCAGAATGCAGGCAAGGTATCCGCCAAACATGCCCCTTTCAGCCCTTACTCGTTGATGGTCTGGACGTGGATATTTGTTAGTCTACGCTTGACCTTGAATGAGCTGGTGACACCTTGTTACGCACTGATACTAAGTCCCCGTTGGCAGATATGTGCGTTGTAGGTGGAGGCAACCCTGTATGGAAAAGGGACAAAAACAACAAAACAGCATACAGAACCTCTGGCGGTACACCGACTACTCCCCCAGGTTCGCCACTCCGATCTTGTTACGCAACCCACCGATTCTTTGGGAACACAGCTCTCTTGGGGATGCGGCACGAAACATGCTATGGAGGCCAGAAAGCAAACTGCCCCATTTCTTCTATGAAGTGATTTGTGGGCTTAATACCCTCAGGTTGGAGGTTCATTGCCAGCGGGGCGACCATGGAAGGGATTAGTTTCTGAGGTCTTCCGCTCCGAACACGCGTTCCTGTGTTTCCTGCACGACATGTCACAACTGTTCCATGCACCAAAACTCTGAGGTGCGTATGGCGGCCGTAAGCACCCTAAACCCTAAACCCTAAACCCTAAACCCTAAACCCTAAACCCTAAACCCTAAACCCAATATTTTAAACCACCTTTGCACTGCCAAGCTTTGGAACGTCGGCCGGAACAATGCGGCCTCCCTGACCATCAACTTGCTCCGGACTCAGATGTAGCGTTTTAAAGACACTTGCCCTGCCTGTTCCCGGGCAACCTAACTAAATAATAGTTTTGAGGTGATTAGCGAAATAGCCCTTGAGGTGAGAGTCCCTGGGTTTATTTGACAACACCAGCGTATCGGTCCTTTCGAAGACGTGAACTGAGACCACTGGACTAGGCCCCCGAACAAACGGCCTAAAGTCTTCTTGTTGTCGGCTTTGCCTTGCAAGTCGCATTATTATTGGCAGTCGGTGTGCACCACCTTTTTCTCCCACAACCAAACCTGAAACTCTAAAACCACAACCCCAAACCCTAAACCCGAAATCCCAAGGCCTTCGGGCTACGGCGCCTGCTCCGTGATCGGATCTGGGGCGCCCCCGATGGAGCGGCTTTCTGTTTTACGGCCAGGGTCATGGTAACATGGACTTGATGCTTGGCTCATTAGGTTGAGGGTTTAGGGTCAGGTTGCAGGGTTTTGACTGGTAAAGCCACCCCGTCCCCTCCCTGATGCTTGTAGCGCACGGCCCTTGCTGGATGATTACCATCTGGAGGTCAAAAAGGTATAGCCGGCCTAACAGCATTAGGGCTTTTCGCCTGAGCTCGAAGAATGTGGTGACCCAACATATCTCCATTCGGAAAATGCAAGAGCAATTGAGTAAATACTTACTATATATAAGATATATATATATATATATATATATATAATATGTACATATGCGTGTGTGGGCCCATGCATGTACGTACAGCCCCCTCCTCACAAGTTGTGGTTCTGACGTCAGGCTTTTCAACATGCCGAAGTTTCCAAGCTGCCAAGCTATTGAACCCTACCCGAAATGTCTGAACCCTATCCGAAACTGCAACCTTTGCTCTCCCCCCCCAACGAATTTTCCAAATTCGCACCGCGAAATTGCCTGTGCTTTTCCAAGCTACAACTCAATGGTTGGCCCGGCTAGCGTTTGAAAACCGTGGCTGCAAAAACACGCAGACTTCAATCAGGACAGGAATCTGCCGCAGTACTAGGTAGGCGCCTAGTACCAAGGCTTGGTTGTAGCCCAACACAGAGTCCTCACATCAAGCATGTAGATGATGTGTAGGTTGTAGGGCTTCGGGTTTACGATTGTTGCTTTGGCGCTTAGGTAACCAGCTTCAGTCAAGACAATCGGCAGCCGTTGGTTGTCATACCGCGTGCAAGCGTGCCAAATTTTTGCTGAATGCAAGAGTAGCGTCACACAGCAGACAATGTAGGCGTGCTGTAGAGCAGAGGTGGCTGATCCGGTTTAGGGTCTTGACTCAAGCATTTAACCCTGGTGAGCTGCAGTTTTTTTGGCACGTCAGGCCGAGGTGCAAGTGTGGTTCATATCTTGCTCGACCTGGTTGGCTGCATGCATGCTCGCATGCAATCATCCATGCCTCCCTCCATCCGACCACATCATTGTGAACATGCCGTGGAAGCGGAAGAGTCCTGTTTTCTTGAAACGGCACTGCTCTTTTGCTAAACAAGAACGCAGAATGATGCCACCTGCCCATGGCTCGGCTGCAGGACCTCAAAGTGTTCTTGCAGACCACTGGCGGATATGTCTGTGCCTTAGAGTTTTTTTTCAAAAGTGACCTTGTGACCTTGTGACCTTGGCGGTAACCTTGGCCGGTTTTGGCCTAGAATGAGGGAGAGCCACACGCGCGCATGCATTTCGACAAGAATCCTGGGCAATGCTCAAACCCTCTCTGCTGCGTTGGGCTGTGCGTCAGTATCAGTATATTTCTCAGAAGACGCATATTCTTTATGCCGCGCATTGCAACTCCTTGTGGAACTGAGGCTCATGAGAATACGCCCACAAGCCATCATCCTATATACTTTCAGCCCTAAACCCTATATAAACCCTAAACCCTGTATAAACCCTAAACCCTGCATAAACCCGAAACCCTAAACCCTAAACCCTGTAACTCCGAACCCCTAGAAGTCCTCAGTCCTCAGATCGACAACAACCGCGGTGTTCTCGCAGTCTCTAACGACGATGGCGGGGCCCTTAGCCACGGGGTGCCTTTGGGCGTTGTAGGCTTTAGGGTTTAGGGTTTAGGGACCTCGGGGGTTTTGGCTGCTTCGGGCTTGGGAGTCCGGGGCTTGTCTACTGGGAATCCGCCGTGGCCGTGACATTCTACGTGGGTTCGTCCTACGTCCTACTTCATTGCCCCCTTACGAGTGCTTCTCACAATCTATCCCCGGAGTTTAATAAGAAGGACGCCAAAAATAGACCATCAAGTCTAGAGAGCCACGTCCAAAAGTCATGTGAGCTGACGCCCACGACTTCGCAAAGACGCCCTGCAGGCGACTGGGCGAACTCCAACTTGATGACCTGTCAGTACGAGCTCTTCGCAAACAACCAGGCTCGAGCCACGTGTCCGGCAGCCCCTGAATTCTAAAGCTCGAGACCCGGAACGCTGCAACTACAGGGCCCGAAGCCGAGGCTTCCCCATGTGAGCCACTTGTGAGATCCGGAAACCTTAAACCCTGAGCCCTTTGCCGGTTCATGGGCGTTTATGTGTTTCGGGAGCCTCTAAGACAATTGAAGGACGCAGCCATGATCTGTTGGATGGTAGCAGCAGCAATCCAAGACAGAAAGGACACCGGAAGGTTGAATCCCCTGCCCATCATCAAGAGAACGCTCCCAATATGAACTGTTCACATTATCGTACACTATAGTGTACTAGCAAGAAAAATATTTTGTATTGGGGGTTAACATCAGTCGCAGGAGGTCGAATCAAGCTGCTCGCCTGCTGCCTTGATTCCCGCCATTCATGTGGGTGGTTGTCAAAATTATGGTCCCTTCCTTTTGGACCCCTATATAATTCGGCACCTAAATTTAAGGTTCCCCTAAAGGATCATAATTTTGACCACCCATGTAGCCTTCTGTATTCGTGTCCACACTGCTGTCTAGGCGATGCGTTTTGTTTCTTTCCGGCATATCAAAAACCCCGGTGCCCCAAACCCAACCACCATGGCTCTTCCACAACCACGGATGATCCCGCAGGCGATCTACGCAGGCGGGGCATGGGAGTCTGATCCACAACCGAGCGAGCCCGGTCAGGGTTTGGGACCTCTCTGGATTCAGGGGTATTCAGGAGTATTGCTTACCTGCCCTTGAGACCCTTCACATGTTGCGATGCTGCCTGACATGTGAACGATTGCGACTACCTTACGAAGGACGGGCCTGGTGAGCTCCGCAATTTTGCCCAGGCATGGTGTTCTACGTGGCAGTTACAGTCTGGGCCGCGGGTAGCCGGGTAGCCACAGGGTCATGATCAGAGGCCGCGGAAGAAAGGTCTTCGTTTTTCTAGCCGTCAGGTCGCATGCATGCTCAGCATGGCAGCTTCTTCTAGAGCGTCTTCGTAGCATGTCATGATAGCTGTCATGCGCAGAGGCCTCTGGAACAGTCGAGCCATCATCTCGTTGCCTGCCCTTCCCCTGAGCGCCATGGTGGCCCTCAAGCCCCGAACCCAAACAAGAAGTGCCACAGCCGAGGTCGTCAACCCAACGAACGCCCTGCCGAAGACCGATCCCGACAACGTTCGCAGCTCAACCGCCTGTCGACCATAGCTTCGACGCGCAGATACGCACAGGGGCCAGGTTAGCATAGGTATAGTCAGTATGAGCGTGAGTATAGAAATTGTAGCTGGGACTATTAGGGCGTCTGTCTGAAGCAGCGGCTCCGGTTCTTCAGTAATGCCTGCATAACTCAAGTGCGGCCTCGTCGGAGGAGCTGACAATTAAGCTCAGCAGCCTTGGCCACTACGACCCGGAGGCTCTCAGGGACATGGGAGCAATCCTTCCAGTTGGGATTCCTGCGGAGTGTTGCGTGGAGCTAGGGGTCTTCTTGTGTTTATAGTGTTTAGGGTTCCACAACTTAGTTTGGACTCAGCGAGGGCATCACCGACCCAGCTCCGAAAGACATGCCGCCCGTCCCCTTCATCTCTCTGGCGGAGGCCGGGTTCTTGTCACATGTTTACAAGGTCTCGAGGTGGCTTGAGACGATTGTTTTGGGTTGGGGTTCTGGCTGGGTGGTTGACAGACCAGGGAAGAGAGGTTCAGCTCGTGCAACGTGATGCGAAGCGCTAATTGCAGTTGCACCCTGCGAAAGTGGGATAGCTTCTTGCGCAAGTGTCACCATGTGCCCTTTTGCATGCCAGAGCCTGAACGAATTGGGAGCTCTCCTGCCATGTAGGGCTATCCTGTTCGCGTCGCTCCGAGAGAGCGAACGAGTCCATGAGCACAGTGGGGTTGGTAATTTGCGGTTATCTCCTCCCTAAAGTTGAGGCAAAGCCGATTCAGGGTGCAGGGTTGAGGTTCTGGATGCAGAGTTCCAGGTTGAGGTCCATGGACCCTATACCAAACGCGGGCCTCCAAAACTGCAAGTCTGTCCAGTCTTCATAGCTTCCTTGTGCCTGAAGGAAGTGAAGGGACCCGTCTCATGATGTCCCTAACGCCCTAAGTTCATCCACCATAAACCCCGACCCTATAACCCGTGTGCGAAGGAGAAGGCGCTTGGACAAGACCTTTGGGCAGGCCGTGCTGCGACATGTGAGGGTTTAATCTAAGTATAGCTGGGAATGCGCCCCCCATTCGGGTCTGGTTCAGGGTAGTTCTACCTGCCCATCCCATCATGTTCTTTGCAGCTCTCCTTGGAACGCTGCGATCGAGTTGCAGAGTCCCACCTGGTTGTAGATTTCACAACATCTGCCGGCTTCTCAGGAATTTGTTCCTGAGGGCGGGTGAGGGTGCTTCTCCATAGAACTCCAGGCTAGGATGTCTTTGCGCGCGAAATCGGTTCCTCGGAAGTTGCTCTGAGACTTCCAACTCCCTGCTCCAGGCAATCCGGCCATCATCAACATGCTCTCGGAGGACTGTCGCGGCTGTTAAAAACAACCCCAACAAAGAGGATAGGCCCCCATGAGCCCTCGACAGCGGTCTTCAGCAGGACTTCCAGCAAGGCTCAAGTATGTGCAGAGGGCCGAGGATTTCGGGTTCGGCAGCTTGAGCATTCAATCCACGTTGCCTCCCGCGAGTGGCGCGAATCGCAGGGAGTCACGAGAAGTGAGGCCCGAACCTCAAGCGAACCAGCGAATCACCGGCGTAGCTTGAAACTTGAACCCTAAACCCGAAACCCTAAACCCTAACCCTAAACGACATGGGCACACACAGAGGCCGGCTTGTTCACGCATCTTGCCCACGTTGCGTCACCGACAGGGCCCAGAGCCTACGCCCGTGCCCTGCGCCAATGACTACTTAGCCTAAGCAGATTCCCAAGCAATCCTCTTGCACCAGTAGTCTAATCTCTCCATGATGCTGCCATGAACAACCAAAGAGGCAATTCTAATGAAACAGACCTCTACCATCTTCTACCCTAAAGTTAAAGTACCCTGAGCAGGAGCTGGTACAGCCCTCTAGCTTCGTTCGCAGCTGCTGCGGGCCGAACTTCGACACTCGGCGTGAGGAGGCTCTCGACACATCCACCCAGGGCTCGTAGGATTCATGGAGGGTAAGCGGAACATCATACGATAAAAGATCGCGCCGCGCACCTGATATTGACACTGCGAGCGCTTTGTGGCTGAAGGGACAGCAGCTAGGAAAACAAGAGGACATAGCTGCTCTGATTTGGACCCTTTTTTACCGGCAGCCTGTGATGCTGGGCTGATGCCCACCATGGCTTCCTTCTGGTCAGGCATTCCTGCTCATCTTCTTCCGCACATCGACATATGTTGGCCGCGAGCTCAACATGAACAACCCTCAACAGCCCTCAACTGCCTAAACTCCCCCCCCCACCTCGTTGCGCTGCGTGGGAGATCTTGAGGTCAGAACGGCTACGTGGTCTTCGACGCCCCCAGCGGCTTCGACTTTGGCCCCAACTGTACGGCCAGAGACCTCCCGGAGTCGGGTTGCCTGGGGTTTCAGAGATTCGGGTTTTCGTAGGGGTTTTAGGGGATTCCAGTAGGCTTTTCGGGGTTTTGGGGTTTGAGCGCCTGAGTTTTTCGGGCTTTGGGGTTTGGAGGGGCAATGCCCCAAACCCCTGAACCTCTACTACTCAGCCTATGGGCAGTACAGATAGAAGTGGCTCTGTGCTCATTCGGGCCAGTGAAAGAAAGCCTTGCTTGTATCTTCCCAGGAACCTTCAATCAGGCCCTTAAACTCAAACCACAGGAACATTACTGCCCTCGGGCCCGAGAATTTCGCACAGCCCCTTATGGGGCAAAGTCAGCCCTGAACCCCAGCAATCCCCAGCAAACAAACCCTACATGCGCCCGAGACCCCGAGCCCCGAAGCCCTGATGGTCTGCAACAAAAGTTCCTTGTCTCAAAGAGCCTAGCCCCAAACCCCAAACTTATTACACCCTAAACGCTAAACCCTAGAACCTATAAAGCCTTATAAGCCCCGAGGCGATACTACGCCTTCGTCGGCATGTTCGAGTTTCAGCTGTACAGGCCCGGTGGCGGCGGTGTAAGGATGACGTCAAGGGCTGCAAGCTCACTAAGCCCGGGTTCAGATCCACAAGGAAAGCCTGGATGTCAGTGCGCAACCCCTCTGGGCTGTTGTCCCCATAACGGATCTGCAGCACAGCTCACTGATGTGTTCGCAGGATGAAGAACATGGGAACCTGCCTTGGACACAGGCCGGCGAGTCATTTGCTGTTTTAGGTTTGTTTGCCATTGTCAGCCAGTAGTGCCCCAGAAAGTGCCCTGCAGGTATCCCAGCACAGAAAGCACCTACAACAGGGCCGTGCTTCAGGTGCGCAGATCTGGGGTGTCCACCGACATTGGGCTTTCCGAAGTACACTGAAACTATCGGTGGGCAGGTCGGCGGCATCATCGATGCTCCTTTCTACTATGGCTACGAGCTCCGGGTACCCTTGACTGCAAGCAGACCAGGGGGCGGAGACATCTGAGAGTTGCAATTCTTCGAACTTCGGAAGCAGCAAGTCACATGGCAGAACTGCGGGCTTGGTTTTTGGGGACTTCTTAATAAATCTTCTGACAAAGCACGAGGTGGCTGATTCTGGGTCTTGCTAAACCCTAAACCCTAAACCCTAAACCCTAAACCCTAAACCCTAAACCCTAAACCCTAAACCCTAAACCCTGAACCCTGAACCCTGAACCCTGAACCCTGAACCCTGAACCCTAAACCCTAAACCCTCAACCCTAAACCCTATGGTGTTCTGGGGGAAGGTGCTACATCCAACCACCTATGACACCACGCAGCACGAGAACTGGTGCCTCGGCTGCATGGAGCTCTGATGGGACCCTTAATCTTGTTCCCCTATATAACCAACATAAATAAAAATGTAAATGAATAAGTAAATAAAAAACATAATATATATATATATAGAGCCCCTAAATAACTCCTAAGATCCTTGTTAAGGACAGGAATGCCTACCTGCGTGTGAGCGTTTCAGCCTCGCCAGAGCATCACGTGCTGTCAGGTATCTTTGGATCCAGGATAGCAACGGTTACCCGCTGGAAGGCATCTTCCATTTTCCAGCTTCGAGTAGCAGAGGGAGTGTGCTCTTTAGGCCCCCCATGACTGTGATTACCAGTCACTGCAGCTGCGGCGGGATGAGCCATAATCACGACGGCTGGAGTGAGTGGGATGGGCCTGTGCCAGGCTCGCAATCCACCATCAACTTCAACAAGTTTCAAGCCGCAGCACAGACGTCGCTGGGGGCTTGGGTGAATCTCTCTGTTGCGGACCAGCATGGTCAGCTTTGAGTCCATCATATCCCCAAGTGTAGTTAAACTCTTTCTTTGTAATCCCAACCTCCGGGGTTGAAGTCTTGCCAGAGTTCCGGAGTGTGTTGGCAAAGTAGGCTCCAAGCTTGTTTCCTAAAGGCCTTTGGACATCCATGCCCTTGCCAGGTTCTACCACAAGTCCTGGGGCATGTACAATGAGATTGGCCAGAACATTCCGGTGCCTGGCTGATCTGTTGAGGGCGGGTGTGTCTTCAGTCTGAAGCGAGGGTGGAGATGGTGTAGAAGGCAAAGCAAGTTGGCAAAGCCCCGACAGGTACAGGTGCTGAGCCTTCGTCCAACCTCCATGACACAGGTCAACACACAGGCGGCGCAGCCGCTGTGAGGATTCTCTTGCTTTCGGATAGGCTGATGCTGTGGGTGGGCAGAGGGGGATAGGGGGTGGGAAGGGCTGCCCTCGTTTGGGGGTTAGGCGCCAGCGTGACGGAGCCAGGTCATCTTCTACCCCATCCAATTCTCTGTGTCAGCCTCAGGGCTATGGCTATAGATGGCCGTAGAGCAGAGGCATGCTTGGAGTCAGTGACAGCGCCATGCGCCCTCGGGCCCCAAGCCTACTTTCAGCCCAAGCTAAAGCCTAAACGACGCGGTCGCAACGCGAGCTCTGGATTTCTGGCTCCTCTTCCGAGCATGTGTGAATGTGCAGATCGACCTCGACACTTCCCTTCGGATCTCAGCGCCCGTTGGTCCGCTCCTAAGTCCTAGGCCCTTCGTCGTAAGCTTAGCTGCAGCTAAGGTGTTTTTTTTTGTGTGGCTTGAAGATAAGTTCTAGGCCTCAAGAAATCTTGGCGCGGCCGTTTAAACATGCTCCTGTCGAAGCCTGCAGAGGATGTAGCAGAGGATGCCAAATCAAGCTTTGGTCATTTCAATATGATCAGGAACAATATGTTTACCAAGGCGAGCAATGACCCCAGAGGCCTTTTATGGCTAGTTGCTGGGGTGGCTGGTTGCTAGGCCCTTAGGTTCTAAACCCCAAATCCCCCTTGAAGCAGGGGGACAGCGATGCTGATTTGAGAAGCTGAGGTTTCAAGTGGGACCCGGATCCAAACAACTTCTTCAGACGATCCAACGGCACCATTGCTGCCACTCGACATTATGTGGCTGCGTGTGCTGAGTGACCCATTCGGATGGACAATTTTACGATGACACTGATGTAGAAAAGAGGGGTCCATGCCGCGGCAGTGGGTTCCTGTCATGTTGCGCTGAACGAAACACGAGCAACAGTTGCATGGAGAAACGCTCGTCGCCATCCCTGCTTCGATGGACATGCCACGTAGTACTGTATTCGATGGGCATTTCTGAAAACTGGGTCCCTGTGTATACCAAGTTTTCCGATCCGTACTAACTCCTTGCCCTTGATGTTAAATCACGGCTCGATCCTCCCAAACACAGCAAAGCAAAACACAACAAAAGACCCGGGGACATGATTTTGATCTTCACGGTTCGGCTTTGAGAGATGCAGCCCAGTCGCTAAAAAGCCGAGTGGGCTAAATCACCTTCAAGTCCAACCCACGACAAACTCCATTCCCGACTTCTAATCTTTGATTGGCTTTGGCGACTCGGAACCTTGGGCCGTACTCGAGGGAAGTGGTTGAAGGACCACCCACAAAACAAGGACCAAACATTTTGAAAGGTTTTTGTTTGTTGAGTTCGGGTCCTAAGCCCTATGGGTCGGGCCCCAAAGCCCCGAACTTCCAAACCCTCCCTTGGCAATAGGCAAACCACTTCTTTTGCCCAGGACTGGCCCGGTCTTCCGACGGTCGAGAACAACAACCAGTTGGCAGGGCACCCGTGCAGGGGGGGGTAGGGGCCCGAAGCCCTTGTAGAGTTTTCGGGTTTTGGGCTTACTTTGGGCTACGGCTTTCCGGGTTGGCTTTTGCTTGTACTCACCAGTGCACTGAAAGTCAAGACCGTTCCGGGAAAGGGCCATACCTACTCCCTGCACCCGAGTTGGGATAGCTAAGCCCCACATCCCTGAATTGAGATACCTAAGCCCCAAATACCCTCATTGGGATCATTTCCTAAACCCCATAAACTCCAATTAAGATACCTAAACCACTTCAGCCCCAATCGGGATACTTCAACTCTATACACCCCCAATCCCCTACTTGCGTTGCCTGAGGTTTGGACTTCGCTCAGTTTGAAGGGCAACACAGTTTACGGCTTCCAAGCCACTGTGGAAGTGCCTTGATCTTAGCCTGCCAAAAGACGTGCTCCTTCAGCATGTTGATGCCTTTGCAGGACGTTTAGTCGAACGAAGCATGCATGTGGGTATTGCAGGCCGAACTTCAACCCCGTTATGTCGGCCAACTCCTTCTTCATTGAGCGCGACGCTGAGATGTGCACAAGCCAGCAGCCTTCGTTTCCATGGATTTTGTTCTAGTTTATATAGCAACCCCCAGATCTCCGTGCTTACCCAGGTTTGGATTCCGGAACTCCAACATTCAGAAGAGGTGGGCTGGCAACAGAAGCAGTTCAACGCAACGAAAGCGCCAAAAACTTGACATGTTTTTGGGGGAGGGAGGGGCCAGTCTGCCTGAAGCCTTACGAAGACATTAGGGAAGATGCCTTCCGAGGATGTGAGGACGCAGCAGGTGGCGAGGATGCATTCCGCAGCCGCGCTAATCAGCGGCGAGGATGCGTTCCCAAGATGCAATGCTTCTTTAAGTGACACAGATGCATTCCGAAGAATGCGCACGGCACCAGCGCAAGGGCTGGGCCAGGTTCTCCGACCTCGCAACGTGGCGCGACCAAGTCCTCAGGCGTCGCATTTCTCTTGCGCCGCCAGGTGCAAGGCGGCATCAGCTGGAAATGTGACTTTGGCCCGTGGCGCAGCACCAAAAGCAATGTGGCATCACGTTGCGGCGTGACCTGATGTAATGCGGCGTCTGGCTTTAAGCAAAGTGGCCCCTTCGCTTGCCCCAGCGCGGTGTAGACACTCCAACAAACATCGGGGGTTTACGATATGAGGGGTACCTTATGATAAGGGGGTCCTACTATTTGGGGGTTTAAGTGAGGCCCTCCTTATTTCGTAAACCCCCAAATCGAAACCAAATGATGTTGGGCTTTTCGGCGCCGGCCTGCTAGGCTTGGCTTTCTGACCTGGTCGGCTGACGAGCCTGTTGTTTCCTTATCCTCTTGGGCTTGGCGATTCTGATTCTTGTGATTGGCAGAAGGACTGCCGCTGTTGCTGAGTTGTTGTTCTTTGTCCTGGCAAACCTCGCAGAGTGGCATCATTCCTTTGGTCAGCCATTCTAGTTTCAGGTAAAATTCTCTTGAGTTTCCTTTGTCATTCTGACTAGTCTTCTTGTTGCCATCTTGCTGGTTATAGTGTCCTCCTCACACTACTACTACTACTACTACTACTACTACTACTACTACTACTACTACTACTACTACTACTACTACTACTACTACTACTACTACTACTACTACTACTACTACTACCTGCTGCTGCTGCTGCTGCTGCTGCTGCTGCTGCTGCTACTGCTACTACTACTGCTACTACTACTACTACTACTACGACGACGACGACGACTACTACTACTACTACGACGACTACGACGACTACTACGACTACTCCTATACTGACTATTGACCCATCTCATGAGTATCAAATTTTAGCGGTATTTTGAGGAGTCCTCTTTTCGGTCAGCCTGGTTTCTGGAACCGGAACCCATGTGGCTGCTCTAACTTGGATGTGCGACTTCTGCAACCCCGAAAAATCATCTCGACTTGTTGTGGATACCGAGCTGAAGGAAAACCCAAGTCTTCAGCCCAAGTGGCTTGAACCCCGAACCCTCAAAACCTAAACAACCTTATAGACCCCAAGCCCCAAGCAGCAAACCCCCCCAGAAGCCCGGCAGGCTCTTCGCGAATGTTGTGGATGCCCCCTCCATCGCGGCGCTGACCAACGCGGAGGCAGGGAGCTTTGGGTTCGGAGCTGAGTTTAAGTGGGTTTTTCACAAAATGGGGGCGGGGGTATACCCCAAATAGAATGAAATCCCCTTAAAAAGGGACCCCTCCAAAAGGTATCCCGATTTCTGGAAGCCCCCCAACGGCTTATGGGGTCTCCCACCGAAGGGTTTAGGGTTTAGGGTTTAGGGTTTAGGGATTTGAGGCTTTGAGGCGTCGAGGGTTTAAAGGGTTTTCGGTCTTCGGGGTTTGCGGCCTGGCATGTTTGGGGTTCTCGGGTTTGCGACTTCGCAGGTTTAGGCTTCAGGGCTTATGTAGGCTTCAAGGGCTAGCTGTTTTGTTCTTTCACCAGTTCGGGGTTTTGTGCGTGCGCTGGTTCCGGGGCATCTTGCCCCCTGATGCAATCACATTGGCACTGCCATCCGCAACCCCGAAGCCCCAAAGAACCATCAAAAACATATATATATATATGTATATGTATATGTACATGTATATGTATATATGAAATCAAGTATTATGTATATATGTATCTGTACGTATACACATATGTACATACTATGCGAATCAACTATACCCTCTGGTATCTTTTGTGGTGGGAGGTCTACTCCAGCACGAACCTGGTGAACTACGGGGACTGGCCCCTGATGGCTTGCCTGCCACAAGCTTTCGGGGCCAAAGAGCTTATGGACTTTGGTGGTTTTTTCGAGTGCATCATGGGTTTGTGTTTCGCAGCAAGGGCCCGAAGTCCCAGCGACCAGAACCTTGTAAAGCCGAGAGTCTCCTGGTGATGTGCTGTCCTCAAGCCTAAACCCTAAACCCCTTTGCCTCCCTTCAACCTCAAAGAACACACACACACACACACACACCCTGAACGTTCAGTTGGGGGCCTGGGCTCTGCGGCAGTCCAAGTTTCGGATATTTGGGGCACCCCTCAAGACTACGAGTCCCCCACGAGTCAGTCACGACAAGCGAGTTGTTGTGGGGAAAACCCATGGGGCTTTCGAAGTTGCTGTTGAATGTAAGGCTTCTAGGTTGATTTAGCGAAATTGGGTTCCTGTTTGTGCCCGGATAGCTCGGCCGAGGACGTGTGCAATTGCAGGCAGGAAAATGACCGTGAGACTTCCATGTAGGGTCGGAAGCAGCAGTCCAAGAGCTTCTGCAGGACAACAGGATCGAGTTTGCGGTCCAGACAGCCCTGCACTTACTGCTACAAGAGGGTAGGTTAAGTATCCTCTTGCGTAACGTCGTATCTCGGGCGAGTGCACACTGTCGAGAACATGCGCGTGCGGCACGTGCACATTGGGGGAAAGGCTTCAACATATGTCTCTGTGATGCGACTCTACGCGGGGTGATGTGACTTCGCTCGCAGCCGCTTGTCACTGGGGAGATGTGACTTCGCGCGAAAAGATGTGAGTTAACCCTTCCCTTGTAGACTCTGCTAGACATCTGAGACGTGACGGCTCCTGTGTTCGCACTGCGCCGCCGGAGGCTGTAGCTTGCTAGCCGGTCTGCAAGGCTCAAAACAACTGTATGTAAGTATGCTTACTTGCCATGCTTTCTTGCACAGGGTTGCTTACAGTGCTGCAGGCGTACCCGTGTGCCATAGGAGACAGAGATACCTTTCTCAGCAAAGTAGTGTCCTTCCTGTTCAGGGAGCGTCTTGCTCATTCTGGCCTCTTCCAGCTTGTGATATGAGGCCCCACATTCAAAACAACTGTATTACAGTTGTATGCAGTATGCTCAAGCAACTTACAGCCTCACATGTTTGCGTGAAGGGCCGTGCCATCCGCGCTCGGTCCAAACCTCCTGTGCGAACTGTTCCCTTCCGCCGAGGTCACGACGCTGACGCCCAACACGGGTATTGTTGTGAAGGGTGGCTGCCTTGGACACATTCAACATGATTGTGCCGCATTGCACGTGTTCTGAGGCTGGCGCCACGACTTTCGAGTTTTCGTCTAAGTAGGTTGCCTTCGTATTTCTTATAGCCCTAAGTCACCAACTTTGACTTCCTGACTTCACGCATTCAGTTCCGGACTTTTACAGGTACCTTAGGCATTCTTAGGGGACTTTTAAAGGTACCTTAGGCATTTTTAGGAGTGTCTATAGGAGTGTCTGGGAACTTCCTGGGCCGGTATGTTTGGGTCGAGCCGCAGGCAGCGATGCCACCACGGGCTTCTCGTTTACTTGCCCCGACACCGTCGTGGCTCTTCCAGGCGGAGTCTTGGAATCTCTAAGCCCGAAGCCCTAAATGCCAGAAACCCTAAATTCGAACCCTACACCTGCCCTAAAAGCCGCGCAGTGCAACATGCTGCATGCCTAAAGAAGCTACAGGAGTCAAACGATGAATTACAAACCAAAATACACAAAACTTAAGCCCAAGATTCAAAACTTTAAAGCCCTGAGCAACACTACGCGCAGAGACGCGCCAACACCAATGCACTGGGAGTATCCTGTGCTGCGACGAAGAGCAGCATCTCCCTGAGCAAAGACAGAACGAGCATAAACCCTAAACCCTAAGCCCTAAGCCCTAAGCCCTGAACCTCCCTTCTCCTCCAATCTTCGCCTGCAGAATCGACGCCCTTCCCGCCGGACCTGATCTGCGTGTATCAGCTGGCGCCCGGGTGCCCAGCTGGTCACTATAAGATTTTGTGTAACTCTCGGGGTAGTTACACGGGCCCTTAATATGGTTCCTTACCTCCCTTAAAGGGTTCCCAAGTGTGGGCCCTTAATTGAAATCGTATGTAAGGGGTATATTTGGGGTCTCCTTTTTTCGGCCCATACTAAGGGACCATGTAACTGCCCTTAGAGTAACTCAGTTCAAGAACCCATAGCCAGCCGTCCCTCGATATATCCCAGAAGCAGAGGCAAGCTTTCGGCAACTTGACTCAGAACAGGGCTGTTCGTTGATATAGTTTGTACGGACGAGCCTATGCAGTACAAGCGTATACATGGATGTGATTGCGTGATGTCACCGTCAGATTTGGCCTGACGACGACTCGCCTGCCTGCCCTTGAGCATGTGCCCCCAATCTCTTGTTTCCATGAGGCCGGATGGGGCTCCGCAGATCACGCTGAAGGCAGACATCCCTCAGCTGACAGTAGCGACAGGAGTAGCCTTGCGACTTCGATTGGCTAAGGCAATCTATCCATGTGCTAGCGCAGCACGGTCAACTTTGCAAGCCGCCTGCAGGTGAATGACATCAGCATGCCGCCTGGATACTACCGGCATCATTCTTAGCGTACACTGTGTGCGATCAGAGGCTGCCGGACGCAAGCATACCCCAAACACATGCTTGATGACTGAATGCGGATCATGCATGGCTGCGAGCTGGGCAAGACAGCTCAGGTGGGAAATGGTCGCGCAGAACCCGCCCACGCGAAAGCAGGATTGCATGCATAGCCTTGCCCCTCTGCGTAGTGGTGAGATCTGATCTGGTCACGGCGCCGTGTCGTGTAGGCAGAGTCTCGGATTAACGGTCTCCATATCGCTGCCTCAAGTTTTACCCCTAGTTCCCACAACACAGAGCTGACATCAGGACCCCGGCATCTGGACCTTCGGCACCTACCTTGCGGTCTCCTGACTGGCCTTACAAACCCTTACAACGGTACCATCCTTCTCGTGAATACTCGACTGGCGAATGCTGGTGCAGACCCAACGCCAACGTCATTTCAGTCAGGTATCCTAGAGTTAGAAAGGCACGTAGTCTAGTAGGAAACTCAACAGGGACTGCAATTTAGGTCCAGCATGGGTGTTGCTTGCACTTAGTACGGGGTTTTCAAAGACGGGAACTGAACAAGCGTATGGCCCGTATGGCCATGCCAGGTCTCCAACTACCCTTCCACGGATACGTTGGACAAGGACTGCATCAGCGCTGCATGAGTCAAACGGCAGGCAAATCTTGGCAGAGAGGCCTCCCGATCAGAGCCAACGCGGCCCAACACAGGTTCACAGTTGTGCACCTGACTCCAGGAGCTTGCGGCAGAGGGGTTCCGCATTGACAACATGATGCGCGAGGCTGGAATGGTCCCAGTAATTTTAGGAGCAGCTCCAAAAGCGGATCCAGTTCAAGTCAGATGTTTGCCGGCCTTGAATTTGCCGAACTCAGGGTGTTCAGGGTTCACCCCAAAAACGCCTACAACCCCCCTTTATCCCCGTGGTGCGATGTCGCTGTCCAGGCAAGGCTGACGGCCCTGGACCAGGCCTGGCCAGCAGTAACCTTCTTTCAGTTCTCACATTAGCCGAAGGCTCTAATGTAGTTCCTTTTTGTAATAGTTATAGAGTTATAGGGGATTCTAGGATATTACCCCAAAAAGGTACTACATAGGAGCCTTTAGGTACTGTCCTTTCTGTAAGAAGACCAGTGCTGCCCTTTCACCCGTTTTGGGTTCTGGTATTAGGGTTTAGGGTTTAGGGGCTACCGCTATGCTCTACCAAACTAGACTATTCCCGAAACCCAGCGGCCCTCACAAGACTTTACAGGCTCGGTGGCTGGTTTAAAAGTGCCCAACAGATCCGATTCTTGAAGTTTGGGCTCTTTGGGGCTTTAGGCTTTGAGATGTGGGTCTATTGGTTTGAGAAGGGAGGCGGTGATGGTGTGAGACGTGCTGTGCAGACGCAGCGAGCGGCCACGATGCGCAACGACCGTCCCGGCAAGTGAGCGCCTGAGTGCTTGCAGGGCTTGGGGTTAGGGGTTACCAGGATGGGCTATTATACCCTGTAACCCCTTGAAAATACCCTTTCTAGGGTTGATTATGAGGTTTATAAGAACAGCCCATCCTGGTATTTGGGGTTTTGGGATGTCGAGTGAGCGGCGGGCCAGCGAAGTCATCAACTGTGGGTTGACTGGGAGCCAGGATGAGTCCAGGTTTAGGTTAGGGTTTAGGGTTTAGGGTTTAGGGTGTAGGGTTTAGGGTTTAGGGTTTAGGGTTTAGAGTTTAGGGTTTAGGGTTTAGGGTTTAGGGTTTAGGGTTTAGGGTTTAGGGCATGTTTGGGTTTATCATCGTGTGCAGCTTCCGGCTCAGGTTGAACCAGCTCGTCTTCCAGTTCAGCTTGAACATCAGGACGGGGGGGGGGGGGGGGGCTCTGAAGCTGTGCACGACTTGGACTTCTAAACCCTGAAAGAGTAGCCCCTAAACCCTATAACCCTCAACCCTAGACCTTAAACCCTCAACCCTCAACCCTCAACCCTCAACCCTAAACCCTAAACCCTAAGAAGCCCGAAGCCCGAAGCCCGAAGAACCCATGAAGCTTGATCCATGAAGCTTTTGAGACCAGGCCGCTTGCGACGGGCATCCTCGCTCTCCGCGGGTTCGCCTCTCTGTGCCAGAGTTCCCTTCAAAAGGGTGGAAGGGTTTCGGGTTTAGGGTTTAGGGTTTAGGGTTTAGGGTTTAGGGTTTTAGGGTTTAGGGTTTAGGGTTTAGGGTTTAGGGCTATACAAATGCATAGAGCAGTGGGTCGCTGCTGCGAGCTGGGTCGGCCCTGTCAGATGGCTGAGGCCCCGGGGCTTCGAGTTTGACGACAACTGCTTGCCGTATGTCATCACGCGCCCGTGGCATGGGTTATAAGACACGCGCCCTGAAAATGTGAGTAACAAAGAAGATCTAGCTTGGCAGCAAGGCAGAACCTTAGGGTTGAGGGTTTAGGGCGACTCCAAAGAACCCGAAGGCTCTTGAGGGCGTCAGGCCAGGTCCAGGCTCGGCGTAGTGTTTTCTTCGAGGATACTTGGGGTTTCAGAAGCCAGAGATCCTTCCACTGCGACCCGTGTGCCAGGGACAGAAATGATGTCTTCGGGCCCAACACGCAGGACTCGTTGCCATTTAAGTGGCGTGGCGCTGCGCATGGCGCTAGCCTCTCTACCAGTCCACTAAGTTCCTTCAGTCCGAGATTCCAGCACGCGGTTCGACAAGGGTGTAGAACAACCTGTCGGGCAAGGACGTGTGGCCGCCAGATTACTCTGAGTGGCCGCCAGAGTGGCTGCCTCGTTTTATTTCTGGTTCCATCACGATCCATGATGGCGTCTAGAGAGTCTAGAAATCTGTACGTAGGACCACTTTAGGCTTTGCCAGCTTTGATGGAACCCTCTGCTCTACTAGGTGCTTTTGCCTGTTTCTCTTGTACGTCCTTCCATTGTTGTGTTTCGTTCCTCCCTCTTTTCAAATCCCTTCCACTATGAGTCGTTGAACTCAGGTACCGCCCTACAAAGTGCGCCGGAAATGGGCGAGAAGCCCTCATCACTGTGCCGAGTGGCCCGGCCCCCTGGCTCTCGGGCGTCGGGAGATGGAATGCTCTCAGACACCGTCAGATGTGCAACGCTGCGCAAATCGGACCCACCCACAAACAATGCGTTTCAGAAGTAAGAGCGGAGCCATCACAAAGCATGACAAAGCGCATCGGCCCCTGCTGTCCAAAACCCTAAGAAGCAAACAAAGATCGCAGCCTCACTGGGCTCCAAGCTCTACAAACTCTAAGCTCAGCTCTGGTGCTTCCCCAGGCTTGGGCAGGAACAGTCGCAGCCTAAGCTTCTCATGAACCAGGATCAGCTGAAGGGGGGTGCTCTGAAAAAGGGGGGTTTTAGTCGGCTGTAGGGCACCTATATGCAGGGGCTTGCGGTGCGAGACGCCCTGGGGCTGCCTCTCAGGCCTCTACGTTTTCCGGATCGGCGTGCGGAAGAATCCCATGTCCACCCCAGAGTGGCCATGCGGACGCAAGTTGCTGATGCACAGAAGCCACTGAGAACTGAGCATACTGTATACTGGGAATCCGACCTGGTTCGCACAACGAATCTGTAAAATGATTGCTTTCTGGCTGTTGCAAGGTTTTTTAATGATTATGTTGATGAGTTCGTCATATGAATGAAGACTTGGCTGCTGTAGCTGACCTTGATGTTGGCTGATGTTGGTTGCTGACAGAGGACTCCTCATCTTCTTTCCACCAATCCGACTGTCCTAACACCCCCCCCAAACACGGTAGCACAAAACCTCAAGAAACCCAAACGCCGGGATTAAACGCACACCAGCGAAAGCCTCCGCAAAATTCCCAGGAGAGTCGCCAAACCTCCTATACACCCTTAACCCTAAACCTCCTACACACCCTCAACCCTCCCTTTACCCCCAAACCGCCAGGAACAAGTGGAGTATCAACTTCAACGAGCAGGCGGCCGATCCCTTCCAGGGCTTCACGCGCCGCTCTCAGGTTCTTTGTATTTGGACGTTCCGTGGGTAGCAAAAGTCGATTGGAGTTGTAGTTCCTAGTCCTACAAGGCGGTTTTACGAAAATAGGGGACCCCTAAGATCCCCAAAGACTAGGATTCCCTTATAGTAAGGACCCCAAGAAGATACCCCTGATTTCGGAAACCCGCATACCTGTAAGCCTACGTAAGCCGATGAACCTCCAAGTACTGTAGGGCATGTTTAGACGGGTTCAGAAGCTCATCAGGGCAATGTGGGCATAGGGGGGTTTGCAGGGTCTGCCTTAGAGGTGATAAACTAGCTGGGCTTCTCGTGGTTCATAGGCTTATATTATGCAGCATGCATTAAAAGAGTCATACCCGAAATCTCGAATCCCTATTAAAAGCAAACAAGTTTCGCGAAGGACATGTTCGGTACTCGAGGAGGCATCTCCTCGAGCTCACCCCAAGGCTTTAAGCAGCAAACCCCTGTTTGGGGTTTGAAGCCTCTAAAGCCTGCAATCTCAGGGTATGGACCTTTACCAACATGAACGTGGCTGCGGTGGGGGCCATGAAGTCACCAACTGGAGCGGGGACCTCGTCTTCCCCTCATGTGCTTGCAGAGTTCAGAGTTGTTTTGGCGCTTTTCAGCTACCCTCCCCCCCCCCCCCCCCCGCTCCCCTCCACATCTACCTCTGAGTTGGATCCACGGAAGGCAAAGGTAGTTGCACACGCACTCCCAACCCCTCAAGGCCCAGATAGCAAGAGACATTGCAGTTCAAGTTCTGGGGATATGTGGGGTTTATACTAGTCCCCCTGCCCCGCCGGGGTAGCATTAAGACCCCCCAAAACCCCAAAGGGCTTTTAGTAATTAATTAGGGCCCTAAACCCTAAACCCTAAACCCTCTTTGGAGCAGCGACTCCGCCTTCACAGCCCAATCTCCTGGCCTCCCGTGAGCCCAGGCTGGCATCATGCGGACTCCCACCCCTGCCGGGGGCCCACAAGGGTTTAGGATTTCGGGCCATTTAGGGTTTGGGGTTTTCGGGTTCAGGGTGGCTCTAGGATTTAGGGTTTAGGGTTTAGGGTTTGGGGTTTAGGGTTTAGGGTTTAGGGGTTTTTGGTGTAAGGGAGGTATTGGTCCCACGGCTTCTACCTACCCATGCACCTTCAAATAGGAGGGGCTGGCGAGCCTACAGCCCAAGCCTTGTATATATATATATATACCTATAAGTTCCTTTACAGCCACAGGCTTGAACTGAGTTCCCTTGGAGAAATAGACGTCCCCTTAAGTTACCTGAGCACGAAGCATCTCGAAACCCGAAGCACCGCACGCCACTACAAGCCCAAACCCTGGAAGTTTCCCTGAATCGAGGGAGGAACTTTCAAGCTTTGCACTGGGCCCTGCAACGCCCTGCACCCAAAGCCGGAAATCCCTAAATCCTAAACCTCGTGTGCCCAAAGCCCTGTAATCTGGAAAACCGCAACTGTCAATCCTTCAGCCAACAGGTGACCATCGAGTTCATGCCCTTCAACACAGTTCCGACTGCGCCTCAGACGTCTCGGGGGTGAGCGCCAAAGCCCAAGAACCTCATGCCCTGAATCCTTTACATGGTTAGGGTTTCAGGTACAGGCAAGGTGTAGCTGGGGCCAGTGTGTGGGGCTTCATAAGGGGCTTACGCAGCCCAAACTGGCGGGTCAGAAGTGGACCTAAAGTCTGACATCCACTCCCCTCAGGCTTGTAGTAACTTCGGAGCATCTCTTCAGCAGTGCCATGGCAGTCTCCTACATCTCCCTGGTCGGTTTCGCCTGATCATGGTTGAATCATTCAATGTCTGTCCCAGGTGCCAGCCGGTCTCTGCATGTAGTTTTGCATTTGTTGGTACATGTCCGGGTGGCGGAGGATTCTTTTAAGACTAAGTTGCCGAGAGCTGAAGCAGGACTCGGTGCATCCGCGCTTGAGTCTGTGGATGAGGCCCAAACCGCCCAACGAGCAGTTCGGTGGCATGTTGCGACTCACAGCCCCTTGGACTTGCAGTAAACCCTAAACCCTAAGCCCTAAACCCCAAACATTCGTTACATCTTGCTTATTGCCGTGTCCTGCCCTAGTCTGGGCTAGTGGTGCTTTGCATGTCTAGGTTCCGGTGGGCTATGAGATCCAGCACACCAACTCGCAGTGCGAGGCAAGGCATGGTCAGTGCTGCAACAATGAACATCCTGCCGAACACAAGTCACAGTACTGTATGCTGGGATGCCTGTGATGTCCAGGGAGTTCCGGAAAGAAAGGTTCCCTGTGAGAGTCAGACTTCGCCGGCACGCGCGTGGCGTCAGGTGGAGCTCTTTGTGACGGACGGCTCGGTGGTCTTCGAGAATGCAGACTACTCTTGCAGGGCGGGGCTTGCTTTCTGAACCAGAGGTTTTGAAGCTCCTCCGGCGTGGTCACTTTCCTTCGGTGCACAGCCTTTTGGCTTAGCTCTTGCTGATCCTCGCTGTGCGGCACTTGGGCAGGTGGAGAACACGGTGAAGCAGCTGATCTACATGGCGGGCAGCAAGGACATCCGCGGCTCATACCCGTGCGACACCCATGAGCTTTCTCCCTGTTGTGTGCCATGCGCTTGCCAGATTTCTGGTGGCCTGTGTCACCCCTAGTCTCGCTTTGTCTCTTGTGATGTTGGACAGCAGTTCTTTTCAAGCCTCAAAGTTCTGGTCTACCCTGTTTGGGGTCTTCGCTGATACAATTTTGCAGTAGGATCCCTTATGAACAGCACCCGACCACCCTAATTTAGAAGAATCTCCCAAATGTGCGGAGGTACACCTTGATTGTGTGGATATTCAACCCGCCAACTGCGGCAATCGCCGAGACCTGGCCAGCTTCTTATGCCAGCTGGCAAACTGTTTCACTTGGATGTGACACAGGTCTCATAGGTCTCAGCAAAACTTGCTTGGATGTCAAAGTGCTCTTGCCTGCAAGCGAGGCGGATAGACACCTTCCACACGTGGACGGCTGAGCCAGACACAGCTTTGGATGAGACGGAGGCTTTGCAGGGACAGAGTGGAAGCCGTGCGAAATTAGGGCGCCGATAGTTGCCTGTGTGACACCAAGTTTCTCCAGCTGCACGTGTTCGATGCCTGCTTTTTTCTGGAACACTGTAACAGCCATAACAGACCTGACATGCGACACTGGAACAGTTCCTGGGCTACAATGTCAACAACCAGCTCAACACGTTCCAAGTGACGACTCTCAGATGCAGATGCCCTCCACCCCCCATATCAGTAGAGTTGAGTTTTAGATACAAGAGGATCCCCAGATCTACCTGTGGACCCCCAACCTATCCCAACCACCAAACCCCTCTTAAAGATCTGCGTCGGTGGATGTCCCCTCCAAGCCCCTGCGAGGGGACATTTAGCAGGGAGCTGCGCATGATGAAGCACCCGCATCAGGGACGAATCCTTGCGCTGCGAGGGCGGGGGCGGGGGGGGGGCCAGGGTGCACCTTAAGCTGCGCTGATGCAAAGAGATCCGCTTCATCCATGCTGCGGGTCGAGGGTTTAAGGTTGAGGCTCAGCATGGTCCTTTGCTGTGGCTTACGCCGTGGGCTCTGGTTTGTCTCATGGTCACGTGAGCACCTTCGATTGATGCTGCTACCAAGTGCATGGTGTAATGGGCATCGGGTCTTGCAGGGGAAGCGTGGTAGAAGCACCCACATGGCTTGGTTCAGAGAAACTCGAAACTCAAACTCAATCAAATGAACCTCCAACCTCAATTCCACTTCCCCAAGTCTTTCTTGTGCTGTGTACCTCAGGAATGCGCTGAACGTCCGCAACGGCAACACCAAGGCATGGTCGTTTAGAGCCATGGCTCTCGTGCCCCAGCTTACGGTCTGTACAGTCTACGGTGCAGGAGTAGGCATCGCATCCCTTGTGACAGCAGCGGCAGTGGCGTTGACACCACAGTGAGCCATGATATGAAGCTGGAGGAATGGCCTTAGAACTTTGCAGATTTTGCAGCCGGCTGCCAGATCAGGTTCGAGGCCAGAATGCAAACTTAAAGAATGGGCTCAAAGCGCAGGTGAATGACATCGACATCCTTCTGAATTTCCCGGATCCAATGAAGGACTCGAGCATCCTTGAGCACGGCCAAACACAAGTAAGGATCGCGAGGCCTCATATGCTTCCTGCCAAATCTAGGTCACAAACCTCATCTGCGGCTATGTAGTATTGTGCGCTTGTCAGGAAGCATCCCGTATGTAGTGGATACAGAGTGCGCCCTTTGAAGATAGGTGAGATAGTGAGTCTGGTTTAAGTGAGTAAAAAGTGGTTTAGGGAGGGTCTATCACGTTTTTATTTTTCTGGAGATACTATCTTCGGAGAATGATAGGGAAAAAGAAACGGGATAGAAACAGACTTAGAAGAGATTGATGCAGCAAAGTGCTGCAAAGAGGCATCGGCCGCCAAGATATTTGAGAAGCATATAATTCAAGAAGGCATGTAGTATGTTCGGCTAAGAGCATGAAACTATGTTCGTTTCCTTTTGCGATAGCCCAAGGGTATTGTCTCGGGTTTGTCTGCGCAGCTGCAGCTCCAAGATCTGTCTTCGCGATGTCTTTAGGGTTTAGGGTTTCGGGTTTAGGGTTTAGGGGGGAAAACTGGTCCTGAGCTGTCTCAGGCTCCTGCCCACAGTCCTGTCCCAAGCTGTCCCTGTTCCCTGGCTGCTGCCCAACTATGGAATTCTCGCCGTTTTGCTTCAGAAAAATAATGGAAATTAAAGATAAGGAAGATACACTAGGAAATAAACAATAGATACAAAGGACAAAAATGATGATATGGACATAACCGATCTCAGTTTCATTATTTTTTTGTGTCTCTCCTATCTCTTTCTTCCTCAAGTATCTCAAAAGGCCACTGTGTAGAGATCCCGCGCATCTCTTTCGCCTCTGGCCTGTAAACGGCATGTGTCTTTTAGCACTGCCCTTCGGTTTGCAGCTCCAGCAGAGCGCAGTGTAAACTTTCTCCATCTCAGCAGTGCTTTAACTTGGAATCCTCCTTGATGAGTGCTTGGTGGCTCTAGGCAGCCAGCAGGAGCAGCGAGCTACTGCCGTAGCATTTTGGTGGCTATGTTGGTGCTGTTCCGTGTCGGAGCAGATAGTAGAGGAAGAGAGAGGTGTGGAAGGCGTTCTAGATCCGTACCTCTTCCGCGGTGGACGCCGTCGCTTGGAAGAGTGTGGCTCTCCACTCCGACGATGCACGCTGCAGGTCGGACCTGGAGAGTCTTCGAGGACCCGGTATGGATCGCATCATGACGACACCGCGCGATCCTGCCGCTTCTGGGCGGATGCTGGCGGCGAGCAGATGATGACACGGCGCCTCATCGTCAGCAAGCGGAAGTCCCAGGCCCGGTCAAGCATGGTCAGCAAAACCACACAAGCTAGTGTGGGGCGCCAGGGTGGAAGCAACTGGGTCTACAACAATCACCAGCAATGGCTGGCAGGACTTGTGCAGCCATCGGCATTGATTTTTTGTTTGGGGCTTACTCGCTGTTCCGGAACATGTCGCCTTTATCACAACAACCACGGGAAAGGGTGATTTCGCAGCTTGAATGGCCCGAAGCAAAGAATGCACTCGTGTGGATTTCTTCCACGCGGGTAATCGCAGGAGCGCTTGACAACATGCAGAAGACAGCTCGCTTGCTGAACAAGTGCCCAAAGGAGTTCGGAAGCGCGTCGTTTTGTGGCAGTAGTGCTCGAATAAAACTGCTGGCGAAGGAGCCCGGCAGCAAATTGCACACCTGGCTGGCCGGGCGTGCGCTATTGTGCACATGCGCATGTGTTGTATGTGGCCTGTGATTGTCGCGTCAGCTGAAACAGGTCATATATTTTTGCAGTCAGTCGACGATTCTGCGTTTTTCGACTGCGCGCGCCCCTTGCCTGCATGTCCGGCCGTCCAGGTTGTTGCAAAGCGGGGTGAGCGCCCGCTTCTTCAAAGCGCTGAAGAATTGCAAATTGACTTACACGGGCAAGGTTCGAAAAGATGGACAAGTCGAGAAGGGTCGGAGTCGGAGTCATGGTTAACATCATCTCAGCAAAGGACCCCAACAGCAATTTGAGCATTCCAAGGTGTTGTGGATGGATCTATGTTCCATATTCTCGATGGTTTTTGCATCCAATGCCTGCTTGTGCCACAAGGCGTAACTATTTGCACAGTCAACTAGAGAACGGCTGCCCCGAGAACATTTTAGAGTCGCGATTAAGACCTTGCAATTTTCAGAAATATTTTTAAGTATTTTCAGGAATCATCATCCATCACGACATTCAACACGACATCCATGACGACATCCATCCACGACGACATCCATCCACGACGATCAAGGGCCACAGCGAAGAAGTTTCACGAAATCCATTTTCGACAACACCAAAACATGCAGAGGGTAGTCGTTCGCGCGATCACGACACCCCTCGACGGACGAAGTCGATTCGGCTGGTCGATGCATGCTGTCTTCTTTCGGCATGTAAGATAAGGACAAGTGAACTGTCACTGCTGCCTTACTTGCCGGTTCCCTAAACCTTAATAGCCCTGACGCCTAGGCGTTTGGCTGCCAGCATTGCACGTGCATCGTGGTGCGATATTGCTCCCGCCTCCTCTTTATCTCCAACATCATGGCATCTTCCGATGCGAGGCATCAATTTTGACATACCGGAACCGTCTGGTTACACTCCCTAGGCCCTTGGGGCAAATTTCTGTTTTCAGTTGTTGGGCTTACGAGTACTATTGTTTGGTTCCCTAAGCCTTAAACCCTAAACCTTAACAAAAAACCCTAAACCCCAAACCCCAGCAATTCTCCGGAGAATTTGAACTCCAGAATGGCTGGCATGCCGGAAAGGGGGGGGAAATCCAAGAAAGAAAATTAACACAGACAGAATTGAAGATGACAGGCGTGACAAATCGGCTACGCCACCTGGAGCGGGCTTGCGCATTCAGATGCAGTCATCCCGTCGTCCCATAGTATGTCAAGTGCTAGGGACCCCACTATTCTGCGCCATTTTAATTTCCTAGCAATTTTTGTTTGTCACTCGTATGAATGTCATTTGCTTTCCGGGCCCGCGGGCATTCCAGACGTTTTTTCCTTCATTTGGCGTGCCTTTTTGTTTTTGGTTTTGTTCCAGTTGATTTGATTTCCCGCTTGCCCCCCGTATTTCCAGCCGATGTTTTTTCATTTTTGTTATGACTTTCTCGGTTTATTTATGTCTTACAACAATCTAACAGCCATGGTGTTGCAGCAATTGTGTGAGATAGATATATATACACGTATATATAAGGGCATTTTACCATAAGCAGCAAGAACCTCCGCGTTGCCGGTAGTTTGCAAAACAATGACGAGCTCTCCAGTTCAGGAAGTCTGCGTATGCGAAGCCCATCTCCAAACTCATGGAAATTCTTTAGGATGCGAGCCTACGCGTTGCCGTGATCGTAAACAACAAAAGCGATGCACTGAGGCTCGCGCGTTTGCAGGTTTACCTATCGCGTTTTCCACAAAAGGTCTTTTAACAAACGAAGCATGCAAAAGGGACGTTCTTATGTGAGTATGAGCCGAAAAAGCGAGGACAACGATGAAATCTTGATTGTCGGCCCTTGCCTGAGACTCTCTTTGTGACCGGGTTTTCGTGCATTTGGTACAACTCGGCTGAAGCTTCATCTGCCGCAGGGTTACATGTTTTTGCCTGTCTCTGTGGAGCGAGTGCATTTCCTTGCTGGTTTGAGCTCGAAAGGACGTACTAAAGTGAACCGACTCAACGTTCGTTTGCAGTCGTAGGTGCTTGCGCTTGTAAACAGGCCCGCGGGGCTTCAATCTCATCGGCAACCCTCAGCTTGCAAACTGCAACGAGCCGGTAGCTCAGCTGGCGCCATATTTGCACCAGTGTCTCTCATAGCGAGAGCGTTTGTTTACGACATTCTGAGCCTTGCTGATGCAAGGCCACAGTGAACTTGAGAACTTGAATCATTCCGAAGCTCCTGCGAAGCCCTAAAAACTTGTCGCATGGCGCTCTCGAACGAGGTTCCGATGGGTGGGTGGTGTTCAGCTTCCGGCGACCGGTGAGCCAGGCACGCGATGACCTGGACTTCACTGCACCAGCTGTGGCTGTACCCGTTCGTGGCTTGAATGTTTCGCGTTTAGGGTTTGGCCTCTAGAGGTCTGAGGAGTGTTGCGCGCAGGCTTGCTTCAGCGCATGTCACCCCAGTTTGTTCATCTGCTTGCGTTGAAAGCAGATGGGTGTGCGAATCGACAAAAGATTCTTCAGCAAGAGACCCTCGTAAAAGTCAACTCGGCGTCGCTTTGACTGCGCTACAGCCTACGCTCGCCAAGGGGGCATGTGACAAAGCAGCATCTCCTTGACCGATTGGTGAACCGCCTGCTGCCTTCCAAAGTGCGGAAGCTGCGTGCGTCAGGGACACTTCCCAGAAAGAGTCAACTTTACCAGGCCGGCAGCCCTAAACTTTGCTGCAATCCAGACTCCGGTATGGACTAGCCGGAAAGCTGCCTGAAGTCATGCAAGCAGGATCAAGCCGGAGACTTCCTCGAACAAAGCATATCAACGTTCAAGATTCGCTATTTAGGCCAGCCCCATGACCCAAGCCCTGACTTCAAACAACGAAGAGTCAAGTCTCAACACCAAGCCGGACCCTACCTCTTTAAGAGTCAGGAGCCTAGGCCTTAGTTTGAGACTTGAGGCTCTAGTGGCCACGCGGCTCTTACTGTTGCGCGCACAATAAAGATCGAAGTCCGACGGTCCGATGCGGTCCAGGCTGCACCTGCGATCCACAGGGCTTCTGCACCATCCGCAGCTCGGCATTGAAAGTCACGTGGGGTATGTTCGTTTAGGCGGGGGGGGGGGAGTTCTGCTACATTTTGGGTTAGTTGTTTTTGTTCGGGTTTCCGGGCGTGGTGTGGATGGATTTTTTGCAATGGCACGTGGAGGTTGTTGGACTCATGGGCTAACAAGATAGTCTGTCCCGAGCAAAGCCCAGCAGTCACGTCAGAGTAGCTACGGAGCTGACACACGGAGCGCGTAGTGATTATTGCAAGGGTGAAATTCTGTACTATCTTACATGCAAAACCTAAACCCCAATCCCTAAACCTTGAACCCTAAACCCTATGAAGCAACTTGTGAATCCTTAAACCCTTAAACCCCGTGAATCAACTTCTCAACACGATGGAATGCAGTGGGTTTCCGAGGGTGGCAGATCGACGAGTCGAAGGATCCAGCGTACCCGCAGAACGAGGACATCCACTTCAAGGTGGCAGACATCATACATGGGTGGTTGTCAAAATTATGGTTTATGGTCCCTCTTCGCAAAACTCATAAATGTCTGTATGTATTTGTACTCCTTCGTGTATTTCACGTGCTGACATACATACATACACACATACAGACACGCATTCATACACACATGCCTAATTATACTGTGAAAAGTAGCGGGTTCTTTGAGAGTTTGTAGGGTTTAGGTTGATCTAACTATGGGCCCTTTTTGCATCCTCGGCTACGAGGAATAACATGCGGCATAGAGAGGAAAACTCAAATGGTCGAAGACGCCACCCAATTTGGAGGTTTCCGAAGACTAGGGGCACCACCTTTTTTGGTTTCTTTGAAAAGTTTTGGTGTGTTGGGGTATCTAAGGGGTAATTCTGCGTTTGGAAGCGCTGAATTGGAGGGTTCTGGTTGAGATCGAGGGTTTTTTAATGAAATAGCGGTACAGCCAGATAGAACTATGGAGTTACACCCTACTTCACTGAAACCCCAGAAATAACTGCACACCGTACTCCACTGACAACCCAGCTATAACGGCACATGAACCCTCAAGTAAACCCCAGCCGCTGAAAACCTGGAGAGGTGGCCACGACCAATCCTTCCAAGACGCCTTTCCTCACGGACAACTACTGGAAGGCAGATCGTGGCTCCGAAAGTCCAGGTTGAGGGTTCAGGGTTCAGGGTTTAGGGTTTAGGGTTTCGGGTTTAGGGTTTAGGGGTGTATTGGGCTGAGGGTTTATGGGTTTAGGCGGTTTAGGTTTAGGGCCTGAAAGGTTTTCAGCCCCGGCCAGCATCGGCAAACGTTTTGGTTTTTCGAGTTTCTAGTCCCAAAGCTCTCCTACCAGCCACTTGCACCTTGACAGCATGCAGAGCTGAGCCATGCAGCAGGGTAAGACGACAAGGCTTACGAAATCTAAAGGGCCTAACCTGCGATTGTAATGTAAAACAAGCCTTATTTTAAGGTGCTGCGCCCATGGGCGGGCAGCGCACGCAGAAGCCCGGGGCGAGCAGTTTCTAAGCATGTTGAGGCCCCTAAACTCCCTTAAAATCTCTAAGCGTTAAGTTTCTAAGCATTTTCAGGCCCCTAAACTCCCTTCAAATCTCTAAGCGTTTGAGGCTCCGAGACTCCCTTAACGTTTCTAAGCACTTTATAAGGCCCCTAAACTCCCTTTTTCCTAGCCCCGGGCTTAGACACGTCGCTTATGCCCGCCCCTTTGGGGGGCATCATGCTCCTGATGCCCCCCCGCGGTCCCGCCCCGGGAGCCGCTGATGCTCCTGATGCGCGCCTGGGGGTCCCGGGCTGGACCCGCTGATGCTCATGATGCGCGCCCTCTGGGGGCCTCCGTGGCGACGCAAAAACCACGAAAAAAAAACCGTTCACCGGCGGCACGCGGGGGTCGGCGGCACTGGCGTCCGGCCTAATTCTGCTTCGCAGAAGGCCAGAGGCCAGCAAGGCTATTCCCGGGACTACCCGGGCTAAAAGGTCCGCATTTGCTCGGTCCTTTGGGGACCTCGCGCTGCCCGATTTAATGGCTACCGCCAGTGCCGCCGACCCCCTCCAAGGGGGGCCAAGGCACTGTGGGCTCCGGCCGCGGATTATGTATATATATACATATATAGATATATGCGCAGGGCTTGGTCAGGTTGTAGAGTTCAGGGGGGCGAAACATGGAGCCCTGATGCGCAGGGAGTTGGGGCTAAACCCCAAATCTAAAACCGCAAACCGCAAACCCGAAACCCGCAACCCTGAAACCCCAAACCCCCAAACCCTAAACCCCCGTAACCAGGAGACTTGAACCTGAGGCCTCGTCGTACACCCCAAACTCGAAACCACAAACCCGAACCCCTAAAGTCAGCTGAGAAGCCACATCCATGGGCCGTGGACCATGAGCCAATGGGGCCAGGAGCCATGGGTCCAGTGGGGGGCAGGGTGCGTGGGGGGTGGGGGTGGGGGTTGGAAGTGTGGGTGCGAGGGGGTGGGGGTGGGGGTTGGGGGTTGGGGGTGGCAGGGTGCATGCGGGGTGGGGGTGGGGGTTGGGGGTGGGGGTGGAGCAGGGGCCATATATAGGACCAGCCTTGGCAGCCATACAGGTCGACGGATGAAGAAGGGGACCAGGAGCCATGGGTCCATGAGAAGCATGGCGGGGTGCGTGGGGGGCTTGGGCAAGGGGGGGAGCATTGGCAGGCAGGTCGAGGGATGAAGAATGGGACCAGGAGCCATGGGTCCATGAGAAGCATGGCGTGGTGCGTGGGGAACTTGGGCAAGGGGGGGGAGTATGCGGAGCGGGAAGGGCGGATGGGCGGGGGTGCGTGGGTGGTGGGGGTAGGGCAAGCGGGCCAAGCGGGGGAGGAGGTCGGGGGGAGTAGGCGGAGCTGGAAGGGCGGAGGGCGGAGCGGGGAGCTGTGGGGCCAGGAGCTAGGGATCCAGGCATGGGCGGCGGGGGGGGTGGGGGTTGGGGGTGGGGGTGGAGCAGGGGCCAGAAACAGAACCAGCATGGGCAGCCACGCAGGTCGAGGGATGAAGAATGGAGGAGCCACGGGCCCATGACAAGCATGGCGGGGTGTGTGGGGGGCTTGGGCATTGGGGGGGATTATGCGGAGCGGGAAGGGCGGAAGGGCGGGGGGCGGCGTGCGTGGGTGGGGGTAGGGGCGGAGAAGCCACACGCAGGGGCCCATGAGCCAATGGGGCCATGGGTCCATGAGGGGCATGGGCGGCGGGGGAGGGTGCGTGAGGGGTAAGGGGTAGGGAGCTGGGTCAAGGGGATGGAGAGGGGGAGCATGGGCCAGAGGGGAGTAGGGGAGGGCGGAGCGGGCGGAGCGGGCGGAGGGGGCGGGCATGCACTGGGGCCCTTTAAAGTCAGCTGAGAAGCCACACGCGAGTGAGGGATGGGGAGGGCGCAGGTGGGGGTGGAGCGTGGGAGTGGGGTGATCTGGGGAGTGAAAGTGAAAGGGCGGGGAAGTGAGAGAATGGAAAAGTGGGGGAGTGAGGGAGCGAGGAAGCGAGGGGGGGTTGGGGGTGGAGCAGGGGCCTTATATAGGACCAGCATTGGCAGCCATACAGGTCGAGGGATGAAGAATGGGACCAGGAGCCATGTCCATGAGAAGCATGGCGGGGTGCGTGGGGGGCTTGGGCAATGCGACCAGGAGCCGTGGGTTCATGAAAAGCGTGGCGGGGTGCGTGGGGGGCTTGGGCAAGGGGAATGTGTGTGGAGCAGGAAGGGCGGATGGGCGGGGAGCGGGTGCGTGGGTGGTGGGGGTTGGGGCGGAGGGGAGCCATGGGGCCAGGAGCCATGAGTGCATGAGGGCTGAGAAGCCACATCCATGGGCCGTGGACCATGAGCCATGGGGAGCCATGGGGCCAGGAGCCATGGGTCCATGAGGCGTGAGGGGAAAGGGGGAGGGAGCTGGGTGCGTGAGGGGAAGGTCAAGGGGATGGAGAGTGGGAGCATGGGCCAGAGGGGTGTAGGCGGAGCTGGAAGGGCGGAGGGCGGAGCGAGCGGAGCGGGCGGAGGGGGCGGAGGGCCCGGGCATGCGCTGGGGCCCTTTAAAGTCAGCTGAGAAGCCATGACAAGCACTGGCGGCGGGGCAGGGTGCGTGCGGGGTGGGGGTGGGGGTTGCGGGTGGGGGTGGAGCAGCTCGGATGAAGAATCAGACCAGGAGCCATGGGTCCATGAAAAGCATGGCGGGGTGCGTGGGGGCTTGGGCAAGGGGAATGTCAAGGGGATGGAGAGTGGGAGCATGGGCCAAAGGAGAGTGAGTAGGCGGAGCTGGAAGGGCGGAGGTCGGAGCGGGCGGAGCGGGCGGAGCGGGCGGAGGGCCCGGGCATGGACTGGGGCCTTTAATGTCAGCTGAGAAGCCACATCCATGGGCTGGACCACGGATGGGCGGGGAACGGTGGGTGGTGGGGGGTAGAGCAAGCGGGCCAAGCGGGGGAGGTCGAGGGGATGGAGAGTGGGAGCATGGGCCAAGGGGGGAGTAGGCGCGGAGGGCGGAGCGGGCAGCGGGCGGAGGGGCGGGCATGCACTGGGGCCAGCTGAGAAGCCACATCCATGGGCCGTGGACCATGAGCCAATGGGGGGTGGGGGTTGGGGGTGGGGGTGGAGCCAGCTGCAAGTGTGGAAAGGGGTTGGGGGTGGGGGTGGGGGTGGGGGGGAGCCATGGGGCCAGGAGCCATGGGTCCATGACAAGCATGGGTGGCGGGGCAGGGTGCGTGCGGGGTGGGGGTGGGGGTTGGGGGTGGGGGTGGAGCAGGGGCCATAAATAGGAGGGATGAAGAATGGGACCAGGAGCCATGGGTCCATGAGAAGCATGGCGGGGTGCGTGGGGGGCGGGGTGCGTGGGTGGTGGGGGTAGGGCAAGCGGGCGGCCATGCACTGGGGGCCGTCGAGCTTGGGATGAAGAATGGGACCAGGAGCCATGGGTCCATGAGAAGCATGGCGGGGTGCGTGGGGGGCTTGGGCAAGGGAAGGAGTATGCGGAGCGGGAAGGGCGGATGGGCGGGGGGGGGTGCGTGGGGGTGGGGGTGGAGCAGGGGCCATAAATAGGAGGGATGAAGAATGGGACCAGGAGCCATGGGTCCATGAGAAGCATGGCGGGGTGCGTGGGGGGCTTGGGCAAGGGGGGGAGTATGCGGAGCGGGAAGGGCGGATGGACGGGGGGCGGGGTGCGTGGGTGGTGGGGGTAGGGCAAGCGGGCGGCCATGCACTGGGGGCCGGTCGAGCTTGGGATGAAGAGTGGGACCAGGAGCCATGGCTCCATGAGAAGCATGGCGGGGTGCGTGGGGGGCTTGGGCAAGGGAAGGAGTATGCGGAGCGGGAAGGGCGGATGGGCGGGGGGCGGGGTGCGTGGGTGGTGGGGGTAGGGCAAGCGGGCGGGCATGCACTGGGAGGAGCCATGGGTCCATGAGAAGCATGGCGGGGTGCGTGGGGGGCTTGGAAGGAGCGGGGGGCGGGGTGCGTGGGTGGTGGGGGTAGGGCAAGCGGGCGGGCATGCACTGGGGGCCGGTCGAGCTTTGGATGGGGTGGAGTAGGTGGTAGGGGCAATGGGTCTTCACTGACGCCGCCCCCGCTCCGGCTGGGGTCGGCGGATAACATTGTCCAGCCCAGTGTCCTCGAGGCCTTCCATGTGAAGGCGGCTGTGGTCAAGTCTTCCCACATCTACCGGGGCTGGGACATCAATCCGCAGCTCGAGAACGTGCCTCTGGCAGCATTTATGGTTGCGAGCTGATTCCCTGTGGCAGCACCCCCTATCAATTCTTGCATTGCTCGGCATTCTCTTTCTCTTTGCATTGGTTTCGATGGATGCTTCCCGTCATGTTGTAGTGGCCAGCCTGGGTTGCGACAATGCTGCGCGGGTGTGGCAGGTTGATGTCAAGTTGGTCGGCAACAAGTACGCGGCTGGCAAGACATCAGATATCGAAGTGACGCGCCGCACTCGGCGAGCCTGCCCCGCCTCACTAAGAGGTCACCGGTCATCACCCTGAATCCAGCATAAGAAGCCTAAGCACACAAAGTGTCTGCACAGCACTTTCTTCAAAAACCTCCTCAGCTTGTCTGCCCGCAGAGAGCCTTGAAGCTCTCATGGAGACTCATGGAGAGGTTCACGCCGATCACTGATGCGGATACCATCACCATCGAGGCGCAGTCTTGGCTTCACCCTCCCAGGGGTTTCGGTTCAAGTTGAGGGTGGCACATATATGTGCCCTTAAAAAAGTATGGAAACCGGCCCAATGATGAAGTCTAGGTCGAAGGTCGAAGGTAGATTTGTAATTTTTTCCTTTAGGTGGAGCCGCCACTGTGAACCTTGGATTCACGCCTTGGCAGGCCATCTTCCCGACGCAGTTCAGCTTCGACCAGTCGACTGCAACGGACCTGGTCAGTGCTTGGGTTTAGGGTTTAGGGTTTAGGGTTTAGGGTTTAGGGTTTAGGGTTTAGGGTAGTTTATGTTGAGGATAGACTAGTTGCGCACATACATGTGCCTGGGCTTTACATGTCGTCCGACAGATCTCTGGCGTCGCAGATGCTGCGCTTTGTGCCAGCAAGAGCCTTGCCAGCTGCGCCCAGACATCATACCACCACCTGTGCAGTGTCTTGTCTTTCTACTCAGCAACGGCAGCAGAGCACAAGGTAGCGCTTCCGTATGACATCGATGGGCAGAGTGGTGGACTCAGAGCCTCCCTTCCAGCCCCTCAGTTCTTGTTTCTGCCCCAAAGCTAAGCACCTTGTTGCGTCAGGGCTACAATCAGAAGTTCGCCGCCTAAAGACGTGAACCCTTTCAATGGAGCAACCGAAATCACAGGGGCAAGTTCTTTGCGCTTGCCTGCCTCTACTGTACTTGTCTAAGCCTCCACGAGCACTGTAAACCCCAAGCTGCTTCTTGTGCACTAAAGGTGGGAGTTTGCGCGATAGTAGGGGACCCCCCAAATCGGATCCCCAAATAGTAGGGACCCCCTTTTAACGGACCCCAATAAGGTGCCCCGAATTTCGGAAACCCCCAGGTGAAGGCGCGACACTCATCATCAATCGAGGAGGCAGGGATGCACGCAACGCGTGATGTATAGCTCCAAGCCCGGTCAGCAGGTACGTAGATTTTGTACATCATGTACAGTCGGCGATCTTGCTTATTGCAGCGACTCTGAGATGTGGGCTTAGTATGGCTGGCAAGAACTTAAATCGGTACAACGAGTTCACGAAAGAGAGGTGTCTTTGTCGTCAAGTTAGGCGCCCCAGCTTGCGGCCTGAAACAGTACAGGCATTACCTCGAGTACTGTATTTGTAATTATTCAGCCAGGAACTTGCCCCACAGCCCGCAAGTGAGTCAAGTGACCTCAAGTTTCCTCTCAAGTGCCCTCCCTCTTTTGACCAGCTTTCCGGGCCGGCATCATGGCCACCATCCGCATCAACACCGTGCGTCTGGGTCGTGCAGGCGGACAGCCTCGCGCTCAGTGCGCCCGGTGACTGTGTGTCCGAAGCACCGCCGCGCACCATGAAATCGACATGAAGTTCCAACCAGACATTGGAAGTCAATTCGCCTCATGCTCATCATCATCATGCTGCTGCTGCTGCTGCTGCTGCTGCTGCTGCTGGCGGCAGGGACACTGACTCTTGCCGGGTGTTGCGGCTAGCCGAGGACTCGTTTCAACCTCATCACTTACAAGGATGAGACGCGGCTAGAGAAGAGGGTCCGGAACCCAGCGGGTCTCACCTTCACCAGAACATGTTGGACGGCAGATATGCGTTCACCACGCAGTCTCGTTCAAACCTTGCGAAGGCCCCCTCAACACCTAAGACTTACAATCTGAAACGACTGACGCTCCCTGGCCACTTCGCTTGCACAAAGCCTCGGCACTACAGCTCAAATCCCGGAAGCCCTCAAACATCCCTACTCCCTAAGTCGACGTCTTATTTATGATCCCCTATAAAGGAAGGTTTAAGCCCTGAAAGCCTAAACATCCCAAAGCCCTAAGCCCTATAGACCCATAAGCCCCCCTTACAACCCTTGAACACCTCCTGTTAGCCCCCTTAACACCTCGAAGAAAAACCCCTATGAACCCCTTCAAAACCTCTAAGGAAAACCCCCTATGACTCCCTTTAAACCTCTAAGGAAACCCACTCTTAAACCCCTTTAACACCCCTAAGGAAAACCCCCTATGAACCCTAAACCCTAAACCCTAAACCCTAGACCCTAGACCCTAGACCCTAGACCCTAGACCCTAGACCCTAGACCGCCAAGGACGAGAAGTTGGACTTCGATGGAGGCTTCCGGTTGCCTGGGTTGCCTGGCGCTCGGCACGCTCCAGGTTTACCGGGTTGCTGCTGAGGGTTTAGTGTTTAAGGGTTTGCTGCAGGGTTTTAGGGCATAGGGAAGTTTAGGGTTGGGGGTTCGGGGCTTCTTTTGGCCAGAATGGGGAAGCAAGACTTGCCATGGTTCATATCTCCCTATTGTAGTATCTGCGTTTAAGTTCGCCAGGTCTCCGTTGTTCGGTGTTAGGACTGTTAGGACTTTGGGCTTTGGGGGTTAGGGGCCCTGAGGGATTCCGATTGCCAAAGCCTAAACTTCCCAAACATCAAATACGACAAGTCTTGACCTCCCCAAGCACTTTCTCACAGCCTAAACCCTAAACCCTAAACCCTAAACCAGGATCACGGTGCAGGGCACGCCCGTGCTGAAGAGCATGCCCCGCTCCCAGGATTCACCGTAGTAATTCGTGGTGTTGGGTCTTTCATGTCCCCCCAGTCGCGAAATGGTTGAGGGTTTGGGGTTTAGGGCATATAGCGTTTAGGGCTATGAGCGCCGGATTCGCGCAGCGTCGAAGTGTCACGATCGTCTTTCGTCGACGCGACGTGCCGGCATCGCCTTCCTGACAGCCTGGGCAGCCTGTGAGCCAATCACCCTCCAGACCCCTGAAATCCTCCGCGCCAACAACCAAAGCCCTAAAGTCCGCTGCTTCGCCTCTAGAGCCCGTAGCCGAGGGCGCACACCGACTTTTTGAGCCCATCTGTGAGGCGTTGAGAGGTTTGGATGAGAGATTGAAGCGTGGCAGATGTGCGGACAAAGCAGAGAAGCCGATGGGACGATACTCAATACATCGCCTCATGGGCTTAAGGGGCACGGCACAGTGCACCACATGATGGCTCTTTTTCGATCGGCCCTCGACACTTCTACTCAGGCTCGACCACGCAAGAGTCGAATCCGAGGTACCAGGATGCCAAGGCCATGTACCCGGTGAAGTCGCTCTTCCAGCCGAGGGTGCTGGAGGACACGGGAGGGGGGCCAGGGGCTAATTTAACGTGTTTCCTGGCTGAGCTGAAGCCTCCCTGAAGGCCCCATGAGAGTAGGGGGCTCTCAAGTTTCGAGGCTTTGGAGCCAAACACGTCTCCCACAACTCGAAGTGCCCCGGACTGCTTGAGGATGCCAAAGCTGAGTTCACGCTCTCCTTCACGCGGGCGGTTCAGGCTTCTGAGAGGTGCGCCAGCTGAGAGGTTTCGGGTTTAGGGTTTAGGGTATCCCCTCGTCATGTGAAGGACAGTTCGTTTGAAGAGACACGTCCCATGCCGGAACCAGTGGCATGTTGCTTGACCGTTACATTGAAACCCCGGCGATTGGGCTTTGACTGGTGACGCTCTCTTCAGTGAGGCTCCTCATCACATGCCAAGGGCAGGCGCAGTACCAACTCAAGCCCGGAGCTCGAGTCAATCTCGGCGTTGAGTTCCGTAACCTTTGACTGTTTGTGGGTGGCTGAATCCCCTGTAGCATGGCTTGGCATCCAAAATCTATGCTTTTGTCGGCCTTTCGTTCCCCAGGAAACTGGACACGTAGCCAGGCCTCAGCAGCACCAACAGCTAAGGGGCTATGAATCTGGGCCTCGGATCGCTAGTAGTAGGCAGGAAACCCCCTGCAAGGACTCTCCATATTGACCCAGGGACATTTCAGGAGTCCGAACTTAGAGAATTCCTTGGAGTACGTTGTCATCCAGCCCCACATCCGCAAGTGTCCCGTCGAAGGCTCGCATGGGTGGGTTGTCTTCGGCGTAGTTTCCAAGAATCCGATTCTTGGGCATGCCCCAACACAGGGGCACCGCTTATGTTCCCCAAAATAGTAGATTCCTCATTCTAGGAACCCCCCCCCCCCCACAAAAAACACATAAACATTAAATAAACAATAAATAAGTAAATATAAACAAATAAAATTATAACAAAAAAGGCTCCCGAATCTTGGGAAGCCCGTACTGAACTTCAAGATCCTGGCCCACCTGCCGGGATCCTCACGGGATCTCATGGGTACCGAACCCAAAATGGGAGTCAGAAGGATGTGGGATGCCCTCAGGGCAGTGTCCGAGTAGAAAGCAACTAACATCCCATGTGCCCTGTGAGCTCTACGTCTACATCACCCTACAGAACCCTTTATACTACCCGATAGACCCCACACACCCTAAACCCCGTCCTCAGGCAGGCGCCCTTTGTTGTCATTGGCATCGGCCCCATCGAAACCTCGGCCGGGCACCTGGAGTCTGGGATATCGGTTTGGGGTTTAGGGCGGGCGGGTCTAGGGTTTGAGGGTTTGGGGTTTTGGGTTTCCGGCTCTAAGGGCCGCTTTGGGCAGTTTAGGGTCTGTTTTTTTTTTGGGGGCAGTTTCGGGCTTAGGCTTAGGGAAATTCACTCTAGCCGACACGAGTTTAGGCAGCAAGTCTATCTTGCTTGGATCTGCCAGCCATTCTGCTGAAATTTGAAGTTGTTGTGGCTTCGTGAAACAAACTCGGGGGGCCTTGCGGAACCATGAACCGATTGTTTGTTTCTGAAGACGACCTTCGTCGCTATAAAGCATGTTTTTTGTTTTGAAGATGCCGTCGTTCAAATTGTCGTTCCGGTGTCAGCTTAAGACATACAGCCATACAGCCCGTGCCATGCCATGTGTAAAATGCATTGTCCCCAAACCGTAAACCCTAAACCCGAAACCCTAAGACAGTGGACGTGCATTCTTGCTCGACTTCATCGCAGGTGGAGATCGACTCCTTCGGCACACTCAGGGCGCGGTGGGACTAAACCCTTTCTACCCTTTATACGCTAAGATAGTTCCAATATAGCCCAACATATCTTTTTCCAAGCCATTGGGTATCGTTGGGGTCCTTAGGCATTGCGGGGAACCGAGTCTTGCTGCGAGACCCGGCGGATGCTCTTGAGCATATACATTATAAGTCAGAAGTAGATAAATACATGAAAAACACGCACACACACATACACATAGACATAGACATAGACATACACATACACATACACATGCATGTACATGTACATGTACATGTACATGTACAAAAAATACATATATATATATATATATACATATATTTGATACAGAAGTATGCATCCATGCATGCACGTGTGCATGGCTCAGGTTTAGGGTTTGGTGAGTCCGTCGGGCGTAGCGGACTCGCGCATGAGAGGGAGTGGGCAGACCTGGGTACAAGAGACGAGGGGCTGCTAAGCGCAGGCCACCCTGAAGCCTGGACGCCCAGCGACCGAAGTGGCCTTGCAGGCTGGGGAAGTCGGAGCCAGAACGCCACCCGGGGGGGGTCGTTGAGTGGGTTGCAGACGATTGCAGGCAGATACGCCCTACACCATCATCATGTGGGCCACAGCCTTACTCCGCATGAGCATGTCCTGAACCCAGAGCCCATCCCCTAACCCTAGCCTTAACCCTAGCCGATCCGAGGTTCTTCCCATCCAGGGCGCCAACACATGGCGCTTTGACACCAACGATGGTGGGTCACTGCCTACAAACACCAACGACGGCGAGCTGGATGGACACAGCCTTGGTTTGGGGGCCGGGGTTTGGGGGCGCGGGGGGATAGGTTCGCGGGTAGCCATTTCTAGGGTCAAAAGTACTTGGTGACATACATGTATATATATACATGTATATGTATTTTTCCTTTAATCTAACTTGATGGGGTATTCGTGAGCCTACTTTTTAGCTACACATGAACCTTCAAGGAGGCATGCGAAGCTCGGAAGCCCCTCTGGAATCCCGTGTTTGGGGCAGATGGAGCCGGCTTCAACCCTCAAGCCCTCAGGACCCTCAAGGCCCAAGCTCTGAGAGCTGAAACTTAAGCCCAACCTTTAAGCTCCCACGCCTAGACCCAAACCCCCCAAAACCCACTCCAGGCTTCTACCCTGTAGAGCAAATGGAGCTCAACATTGAGGCCCGGAGCGCTTTGTGTGTGACTGGTGATTCCCCATTGGGACCTGTAAGGACTCTTGTTCAGGGTCCAGGGTAAGCTCCTAATCCGATTCAAACGAAGCCGCAAGCTTTCCATCCTTGAGCCCGAACCCGGTTGAAGGTTCAAGCCTAGAAGGTTCAGGGCTTACAGTAGGGTTAGGGTTTAGGGTTTAGGGTTTCGGGTTTCGGGTTTCGGGTTTCGGGTGCTTTCGGGGCTAAGGGTCTATGGCCGTTTGGGGGCTCAGGCTTCAGGGGATGAACCCTGCCCTGCCAGGCCGTGCGAAGTCCACCCAAGGCTGTGGCAGCTCGGCCGGAACTGAAATCCATGGGTTTAGGGTTTAGGGTTCAGGGTTTAGGGTTCAGGGTTCAGGGTTCAGGGTTCAGGGTTTAGGGTTTAGGGTTTCGGGTTTAGGGGGGCATGTTAGGTAATATGGAGGTTTACGCAAATTAGGGGCCACGAATATCGACCCACATCGACCACCAAATAGTAGGATTCTATAATGAGGACCCCAATAAGGTACCCCTAATATCGTAAACCCATAGAGGGGCCTTAAGAACGAGACTAGGGTTTTGGGGGTTATCGTACAATTGTAAGGCCGCGTGCCAATATAAATTGCTTGTAACAGGGCCGCGGCCCACACACGCGACATGCCCCGTTACAGAGGGTATGTATCAATGGCCGGGGTTTTGCGACAGACCTGTTTGTTGTTGTCTGCAGGTTCCAAGTCTTGCTTATCGGGGGGTAAGTGTTCGGAAGTTTCAAGAAGCAAATATATTTATCCCTGAATTTGAAACCCCCGTAAAGTCTTAAAAACTGAGTATGTGGAGTGGTTCCAAGTCTTGCTTATCGGGGGGTAAGTGTTCGTAAATTTCAAGAAGCTGTGAGGGTTCCAGGTCTTGCTTGTCGCGGCCAACCCCACTCAGTCCTCAACAGGGGGACTCTCGAGGCTTCAGGCAAGACAAGCCTGAAACCCGAAATTCCCGAAAATCTGTGTTCATGCCTCCCGGCGCGCGACATACCCCGTTACAAGTGCGTTACATACCCGCGACAGACCAAAAACACAATCTATTGCGACATCTGCGTGAGCAACGTGCGCCCCAAATAGACGCATTATCGTCCTACCCCAATGCACCCTGACACCCGTTTTTAGTGCATGTATATGTATATATAATATAATGTAATATAATATAATATGACAGAATATCATATAGTAAAGTATAATATAATATAATATAGTATAATATACATGATACGAACGTGCGCGCGACAGAAGTCTGCAACAAGCCGGGCGTTACAGAGGTCTGTAACAGGTGGGCGCGGGCGCGGGCCGCGACAACCGGGGGTTTAGGCACACGGCCAAATAAAGTGACCACAAGGGACTCCTGCTAACCACTCCGACCCCCATAGTAACCCGTGGCTACCCTTTGCTCCAAGCTTCCCCAACATTCTGAAGACCCTAAATGGTGCAGGGCTTGTCGCTTCGTTGAGTTTTAGTATATCACTTCTGCCAAAGTGCCCTTGGGCCTTAGGCGGGGTCTCTGCTATGGCACCTGATAAAAAACTCTCTGCTCTTCCTTGAACCTAAGCTTGTGCAGCCTTAAAATTTGGCCTGTTTCGGGGTCCCGCAAACCCTAGAACCAGACTTTGCAGGTTGACGTCATTCTGAATATCAACGCGGGCAATGCCATCGTTCGGGACATGCAATGTTGCTGCAAGCGTCGGCAGTCCCGGTTTTGCCCCAGTCCTAAGCCCCATAAGTCCTAATCCTATCGAGTTTTATGCTTCATGGGCAGATGGGACCAGGTTGGAGGGAGTGAGTTGAGGTGCATGTGCATGATCTGAAATCCAACACTCTTGGAAGGTAGCGCAGAAAAGAGGCGCCATGTTTGACGTTCAATGGCAGGATTTCCAGGGGCAAGCAGTGAGGCTTCGTAAGGTGTTCACCCGCACGAATCTTCGCGACCCGAACCAGAACCCTCAACCTCCTAGACCCCATGAAAGGTTACGTGCCCCCAAAAGCACCATAGGCCAAGGAAATCAAATCTTCCAAGATGCACAGGAGCTTATCATTATCGCTCCCCCGAGCTTCCTTTTCGATGAGAGCGCGGGCGGCTGCGGCGACATGTGTCTGTCCGGGGCTCGAAAGCGCAGCTTGTGCTACCTTGGCGGTGGTTTGCGACCCTTTTCGGCAAAAATGCCCGAAGCCTTGCAAATCCCATAGTTCACGTCTCCTTCTGGGAACTTCGCATAGGATTTCCTTATAAAGAACAAGAACCCCTGAGACTGGTTCCTGGTTTGGTTTGGAACAGTAGCCTATGGGGTTTGGACGGGCGATACGAGAACACCCCAACACCCCCTCCAGAAAGAAGCCGAGCCGCCCTAGACCCGAAAGGTTCAACCGTAAAGCCCCAACACAACCCTTCAGCCCTTATGCCCCCCCTGGAGCCCCGCTAAACCCTAAACCCCAAACCCCAAACCCTAAACCCTAAACCCCAAACCTAAACCCTAAACTCTAAACCCTACAAACCCCAAACTCACCCGAAGTCCGCCTCAGGCCAGGCGAAGCTCTGAGCTCCACGAGCCGGAAGTGTCGCCCTCAGCGAAGCACGGTTATAGAACGTGACATAAATAAATCAAAAGGTGAATGTGTGTGTATAAATATATGTACATACACTTATAAATAAGTAGATATAAACAAGTACAAATACATATTTAAATGCTTATGATTTTACAAAAATATAAATAAGTAAACAATTAACTCTCTCTCTCTCTATATATATATATATATTTATATATTTATATAGATATTCCGAGACCCACGCACATGCACATTGTATGTATGTACATTTTGAGTATATGGCGTATGCGACTCTAAGTTATTGAGCATCTCAAAACCGTCAAACATGCACGGGGAAGTTTACGGGCGCGCTTTCATCTCTCAGCTGAGGTGTTGAATGAAACAGTCGTTGTTCCATGTTCTTTGCCTCAGAAGCCGACGAAGACTGAAGATTCCTGGGAATCTCTAATCTCTACCCGGGATCGGTAGTTGTCAATCTTCGTTTTGGCACGGCTTTGGATTTAAATCTGAATTCAGTCGGGCTTTTTGGATTTGCGGGCTTTAGGGTTTTGATGGAAGCCGGAAAGAAATCGAAGATTGAAGACTCCCAGAGAACATTTCAAGGAATCTGCAACCTTTTCTTTGTCCAAGAGTTTAATTAACATCCATCCACGAGATACCCTTCTATAGCGAGGATTCTGGCCAGTTGTTCAATAGTCTTCAATGGTTGAACTTCCATTTTGCTGAGATGCACATTTAATGCGTACTTACACTTGCACTTGCGCTTGCACTTATTCATGCACACGCCCCGCCCACCCGCGCCCGCACCCACACACGCACCGGACGCGCCACGCACGCGCGCACGCGCACACGCGCACACGCGCATACGTACATACATACATACATACATACATACATACATACGTACATACATATACGTACATACATACGCACATACATACGTACATACATACGCACATACATACGTACATACATACGTACATATACATACATGTACACGCACACATCCATACCCAGGGATTCTTTCAACGTGCTCATGACATATGGCATGATCTGACATATAGACAGTTTGCTAGACCTCCAAGGACAGCGACGATCGCCTCGCCCACAGGCGAACCGCTGACGCAGCTGCGAAATATCAAGCCGCACGGCTTAGAGCCACCGGGTTGTACAGGGCTCTTCGGGCTTAGGGAGGTTTAGAATGTAATATAAAAAGCTTTCAGCATTAGGGGATTTAAAGGGGTTTGCGGTGGTTTTGCACGTAGGAATTGGTGGGGTTTGCGGAGGGAAAGCAGAACTCGGGACCATGGAGCGGCACGTCTCACGAAGAAAACGTTTCTTTCCTTGCTACGAATGGCTTTGTGCTTGCTTCCCTGGCATGCGCTGTGCAGCAGCCTGCCTCACTAAGGGTTCGTGTGCTGACCCCTGAGCAGACGCCCAGCAGCGCTGCACTCAGTCAGAAGACACGGTCGGCGCACTGAGGCTCAGTGTTTGGTGGTAGTCTGTGGATCTTTGATCGACATTTTTCTATGGAGTTTCCGAAAATCAGGGTATCCTGGGAATGGGTTCCCTGTGCTTGGGGCATGGGGGCTTAGTGAAATTTGACAAGGATCAGCAATGTTGATGGAGACCCTACACTCCATTGATCCCAAGCCCGAAGCGAAACCCGCAGCCAAACCCCGCACCCTGAAACCCTAAACCCGTGGATCTTGGCAGCTGCCATTAATGCGGACCTGACATACGACGGTTGTTGCCAGCATCGGGAGCCTCCGGTGTTGCCGAGGCATAACGTGGTTCGTTGAGGGCCGCGGTCAAGGCGCTGGCACAACTGTCGGCTGGGGCGAAGGCCCGGCGTGCAGGGCCCACTTGCACTAAACCCTAAATCCTAAACCCGAAAACCCTATGATAAGCATGTTGCACCTTTCTTCACAGAAGCGTGATGTCGGTTTGGAAGGCTCCGATGTTGGCATCCCCGCAAGCTTCTGGAGAGCGTAGTGGAGCCTGACGGGTCTTACTAGTGGTGTTTACGTTTTTCAAGTAGTGTGGTAGGAAAGCTAACGTAGAACTAGGCATTTTCAACAGCGTTTGCAAGTTCGACTGGCACGAAGCGAATGCCTCCAAGAATTAAGCAGATGACCGTGGGGCGATTCAAGCACAATAGCCAGGCCCCACTTCCCACAGGCCTCATGTGGGCAAAAAAGAGCACGCAAGCAACATGTCTCATGACCCAACCCCTGCAATTGCACATGAACCTGAAACAAAAACCAGCTCCTTGGAAACCCAGCTCCCGATTCCGCTCTTCAGCTCATTGTCTCGCTCCAGGTCCAGGCTTCTTTGTGACGCAGATGGCTGGTACAAGCGTCATGTGACCTTGTGTTGCACCAACCTTCCTAAAAGCACTCTGTGTGGGCGTCGTTCAACATTTTGGATCACTTTATCCTCGTAACGGGGGCCAGATGATGTAAGGACGTTTGTCTGACTGCCTTCTAATGATACTTCCACAACCGACGAGGTACCCGGCCGTCGCCACAATCTCACAAGCTCAGATTGTGCTCGGAGCTCGGAGTGAGGTCTTTAAGTGCTGTGCCCACTAAGAGCATCGGGCACCCGGCTCTGCTGGTTTTGTTCGATTCGATGTGCCTGGCTAGAGGTTCACCTTTGCCCTCAACGTCAACGATGGGAATCAGATCAACATTGAAGCTCCACCGGGCTTCATCCTGACTTGTGCCGGCCTTATTCAGCAGACCTTCCGGCCTATTTGCTTGGTGCACCTTTCTTTGAAGCCCTTGCAGCTCTTTTGACAAGTTTACTTGTCGCAGCGTGGTGGACTCAGTCCCACTCCCCGCTACTCGTTTCGGCAGCTCAGGCTCAACGGAGGGGGCATTGAAGCAGATTAGCCTCCCTGGCGGCAAGCGCGGACACCCAGACGGTTTGTGATGCTGCGATGTCTCAGAGTCTAGAAGCACTGGAGTCAATCGCCCATGGGCCTAAAGAGCCAGGCAGCTGTTCACGAAGCACATTCGCGGAGTCATAGGTATTAACAGATTTACAAGAGAAGAGGACATACGCAACCATTTGTCCATCTACCCAGGACCGAGTTTAGGTAGTGATTGCTCTCATCGAGAAGCATTGCAAAGTCGTTCAAGTTTTTGCAACAGCAGCAGCAGATGCAATTCGAGCAAAGATGCTGCCTGTTTCAAGTCAGTTCTGCTGTGCGCTTTGGCACATTTGAATGGTTCATTTCGCAGTGTGGAAAACACATTCACCGACTACTTCGCAGCAAGCTCTTGCGCGAAAACTATCCAACTTCCTTAGAGGAAAGTTCATGTAATTGTTTCCAATTCTGTGTGTGTGTGTGTGTGCGTGCGTGCGTGCGTGCGTGCGTGCGTGCGTGGATGCGTGCGTGCGTGCGTGGGTGGGTGGGTGGTGGGTGGGTGTGGGTGCGCGTGTGTGTGTGTGTGTGTGTGTGTGTGTGTGCGCGCGCGCGTGCGTGCATGCGTGCGTGCGTGCATGTGTGTGTGTGTGTGTGGGCGCGCGCGCGTGTGCGTGTGTGTCTCCGTGTGTGTGTGTGTGTGTGTGTGTCTGCGTGTGTGTGTGTGTGTGTGTGTGTGTGTGTGTGTGTGTGTGTGTGTGTGTGTGTGTGTGTGTGTGTGTGTGTGTGTGTGTGTGTGTGTGTGTGGTTTCCTGTTTCAAGGTGACTTAAGCTGCTTGAGGTTGCACGAGAGGTGCGACATTTTGTGACTTCTCGCGTGCTGAAGGCCAGATTGTATCGACGATCCCCTGCAGATTCGGCTGGCCATGTGCCCGGAAGAAGCAAGATCCTGGCGCAGAGGTATCCTTAAGGTTTTGGGCTTCAAGGCACATGACACATACGAAGCCCCCTCTGCACAGCGTTGTTTCTAATTAGTGGCTACATGGTTAAACTTGATGAAAGTGTGCCTAGTGCGCAGGGAGGCGCTTCAAGATGTTTCTGTGCCTGAGGGTACGACGCTGACCGCCGACCAATATGCCGCTTGCTCGGATCCGGGGATCCATTTACAAGTTATAGAATATATAGTATGTATATATATATATACACATGGGTTTTAACAAGTTTATAAATATAAACAAATAAATAAATAGAGAAATAAATAATTAAAATAAATAAATAAATAAGTGTATATATATATATATATACACATACACATGCTTTTTGCATTAAGGCCTTCTCCTTGCTGGTGGACTTGCCGCCAGACCAGCCCTCTGCCGCTCGGCTCAGACATCTCTCAGTTTGTTGAGGGTTTAGGGCTTGGGGGTGTTGGGGTTTAGGGTTTAGGGTTTAGGGTCTAGGCATGGATTCATTCCGCCCTTGGAAAGGAGACCTGAAACTGCTGAGTGTCCAGTGGCATCCCGTGGCCAATGACAATGCTCACCCGCCCAGGGAAACACGTTCAGTGTCATCATCAGAGACCAGGACAGGGGGTGTCTCATGCTGCGCTCTCTTTCTGACGGCTCCTGCCGTGCCACCGGCATGCCTCTGTTGAGGTTCACATATAGCCAAGGCAAGAATCATCTCCGTCAACACCTTGCGCGACATGGAAGTTGTTGTTAATCCCTGCAACCCATACGTGATCATTGTGATTCTTATAGTTGCCTTTGGCAGGCGTTTGCGTGTGCAACCATCGATCCAGCCGTGTGCTAGTCTGTGCCAGGACAGCAACGTCGTCGACGCGGCGTGCCTTGCCTCGGGGGGAGATGTCACGCTAAACTCACTGTCATGCATGGATCATTATCGTTCCGCGATGTTCGTACTGTACTACTGCGGTGCAGATTCGCCAAACGGGTTTGTTTGTCATGTATTTTGATTTTTCTGCCACCCATCACCCAGCACGTGGATCGCGATGTTGCATGGACTTTGCCTTGAAAATGCCTGCTCGCATGTCCTTATGTGTTTTTTCTGGCTGCTAGGTACAAGATCCAGGGAAAGCAGTTCGAGCTCATTGGCGTCGCCGACCCTTACCTTGACTGGCGCGGCTCTTGTTGGCCATCGGACACATTGGTCTTTCGAAGCTTTGGGGGTGAGTCTTGAGAGCAAAAGCATCAGCTCTGGGGCCTGTAGACCAAAACCACGCAATCTTCAAACAACTCCAAAAGCTACCCTGAATCCGAAACTTTCTCAAACCCAAGCCCTGCGGACTGAAACCATAATCGGCCCTAAACCCTAAACCCTAAGCCCTAAGCCCTAAACCCTAAACCCTAACTTCAGGTCGCAGGCTGAGCCGGGGCAGCGCACCGACATCACGCGCTTCGGCCGCACTTGTGGGACGCGGGGCTTTCGTCGGCCGGGGCCAGGTGTTTGGGTTGAGGGGGCAGGGGTCTAGACAGTCCCTTCCTTAAAGGGTTATATGGGGAATGTGAGGTTCCTGAGTAAGAACTAGTAAGTTATGGGCATCAGGATCTCGAAGGTGGCCTGCCGCTAGGGGCTTTCAAAAAAAAACTGAAAACCCAGTGTTGCAGGATATGGCAGGCCTCGGGGGTTCGGGGGTCTAGGGGTTGAGGGTCAGCAGTTGTTGGAGGAGGCTTTTGGGTTGCAAGGCCGTGCGATGACGCGTCGGGATAACCTTCCATTCTCATGGGGTCACAGGCGTTTCAGACTAGACTGCCATTGTATGGAGAACTCAGTATGAAAACTCACCCAGCCCATCTGCCCCTGCGTCTAAACCTGAAGGCCCTACTTGAACCCCAAAGCATGCCCCCACACCCTGGCTGTGCACAGGATTGGGCTGACCTTCACCAAGGACACGGCCAATGTCAAGGCTGGTGGGGTTTTGCCGCTTACAACAAACCCTACTTTTTTTTGGCGAGGAGCCCAGAAGACCCACCCCTACAGAGAACGCGTCTTGCACAAGCGGGTGATAAACGGAATGGGCATTGTGGCCATAAGCTAACCCAAAGCCATCACGACACGTGTGAAGATGAGGACCGGTGGAGCAAGAGTTCCGCAAGGTTGTTGCAATTTGCCTGGAGACACCCTAAGCACAAGGCATATGGGACACATGAGCACATGGATACGAAGTGCCCGTTTGCATCAAGTCGGGCCCAGACGCAGGGGAGTCTTGTGAGTTAGATTCTGGCAACACCAGACACCAGACATGCGCTTCGCTCTCCTGGTATGTGTCAATTTTGCCTACGCTCGCAACACGACAGTGACTTGGTTCCTGGAGCAGAACAACCTTGCAGCAACACCAGATCAGCCTCGGACTAGCACTGCAACTGTACGCTACTTTGGTGACTTCAACTCGAGGGACGAGTGCGCTGCGGCCTGTGTGGCTTCTGAGACCTGCTTCACGTTCAAGTATCACTTGGACTCCTTTGGCGAGCCCTGGGCCAAAGGCTGCTACGGCCGCTTGGGCCAGTGGCAGCTGGAGCTGAAACCTTGGCCCGGCATAGAGAGCGGCACAGTAGGGGCGCCCCCACCGCCCCCGCCATGCAGAATTGACTTCGACTGCTTTCTCAACGGGCGGTGTGTGGCGGGGTCGTGCAAATGCTACTCAGGCTGGAAAGGGCCGAAATGCGGCAGCCTGGATCTCCTCCCGCTGAAGAGCAGGCTGGCGCCCTCCTACGGACGTCCGCCTTCTGCCGAGTCTCCTGGCCTGGCCTCATGGGGTGCCTCAATCATCCGGGATCCCAAGAACACCTCGCGCTGGCACATGTTTGTCGCAGAGATGTCGGGCGCCTGCGGTCTGGATTCCTGGTTCCGGAACAGCGTCATTGTACATGCCACTGCAGACTCGCCATATGGCCCATTCAAGCGACAGCAAGAGCTCATGCCATACTTCGCCCATGAGCCAGTCCTTCTCGCGCTCCCACATGGCGGCTATGTGCTTTACAAAATAGGCTGCGGCGACGGAGCCGTGACAGGGTCTGAGGGCACTGGACTCGTAGGCCCATGCACAGGGTGCAGCAATGGTACCACAGAGGGCTTTTGCCCTGGCTGCGCCCAGTCCTACGAGCAGTCATGCCAAGATGTGCTGTACTCAGACAGTCTCTAGGACCCGCAGTAGCGTAGCACCTTTTGTTGATTGGCTCTATCAGGTTCCATATTCTTCCTCACGAAGCAAACGAGATTCTGGGGAACTGAGGTTTAGACGGACCCTGGATTCGGAAGAATCTTACCTTGCAACCATGGGATTGGCGCAGGCTGAATCTTGGCCTCGAGTCCCACGCACCGATCGTGTTTTCGAACGGAACGGTTCTTACGTTCACCAGAGCCTGGGGCTCTAGCGAGCCATCTTCTCAGTCCCCGATTTTCCTCGTTAAGGCGGACCATTGGCAAGGTCCGTACAGCTTGGTGCGCGAGGACTGGGCTCCGGCGCCAGTGCTGCCCTTCGGTGTCGAGGACAGCTTCATGTGGCGAGACGCTCGCGGCAACTTCCACGCGCTCTTCCATGCATGGGATGACATCGGCGGTCATGCCTACTCCAAGGACGGCCTGCACTGGGAGTATGCCGACGTACGCGCCTACAGTACTGATGCGGATGTTGAGGATGGTAGCACGGTAACGTACTGGCGGCGCGAGCGACCTCGCCTGATCTTTGACGACGAGGGTGAGCCCACTCATTTGGTCAACGGCGCTTCCTACAGAGGAGGAGCCACTCCCACGGGTGACTGGTCCTTCACGTTGGTGCAGGGCATCCGGCGGACCTCGCAGACTGTTCTTGTTGTTTGAGAGCCTTTTATCAGCCGCTAGTCGCTGGCGGTCATTCTGCTGCACACTGCAGACCCATGCTCCGACAGGAACCAGGAGCCTAGAGGCAGAGAGTATCGAGTAGTCCTGCTGCCGCTGAACTGCTGCTGTAGATGGCTTAGACATGCTCAGCGGATATGAGGCTTCTTGGGTTCCCAAGGCCAACAAGGGTGATATGATGGATAGGCATTGTAGATGTCCGAATGAGGGCGCTCCATGCTGTGGGCAAGCCGATCAAAATGCATGCAAGTGCTCTTGGTCGCCTCCGCCTCCCCATGATCGCAAGAAACATAGATGAACCTCTACATACTTCCCTATCTAGACGACGTGTCTAATAGCCGTTAACTTTGACCCATTGTTACCCTTTTATTTGTGGCTGCAGAGGAACCTCCCTCGGTGAATCATGTGTCAGTCAGAGGTTGAAGGATTTCAGCTTTGTCCAGTCACCTGGCTTCCTCTTCCTAAGTTTCTCGTGCTGCCGAAACAGGTTCAGATAGCATGCGTGCGAGATGTGCATGGCTCGCCTACTGAAGTTTCGACGTGGGCACTTCCCAGCGCGCTGTTCTTGCATTAGCTGTGTGCTAGACTATTTGTTGTTGGGCTTCTTCACTACCATCCTGCAACATTCATTCCGCTTGCTCAAACACTGCCCTCCTCGTGTGCGTCGTGCAGTTGTAAGTAAATAGTAAGTTTGTCAATAGCAAGCTGTTGATTCGTCAACGTTTCTAGACATGAATCCAGTTCATAGGTACAATGCAGGAAGGGGCACTGTCCGCCACCTTAGTTTGCGCATTGCAGAATCGCAGTTTCGCGCGACGCGCTTCGCGTACCCTTGCAATACAGAAACGCCATGCCATGCTCTAACATATTCAGAGCGTCAGGTCTCATGTCAGTGATCTAAGAAAAGAAGAACTCTCGTACCTTAATAGAGAGCTGATACTCTCAGTGGCCTCAGAGGCCTCTCGGAGATGCGGTAGGCCTCTTGGGCACGTTAGACCCCCCCAATAGCCTCGCTTCTCCAGGCGCTGCTGATCATGCTCCCGGAGCGCTTCATCCATGATGTGCAGACGCCAACCGATGTGCAAAACATCAACAAGCCAATGCCCCAAAAGTTTCCGGCCTTGCCGCGGCTTGCGTCAGGTGCAAATGCATGTATGATACTGTATGTATGATGTGCGTAAGTCGTTCCTGCTAATGCAGTTGTACTTGGTGTGGGTGTGTGTGTCTGCTTATTCATGTTTAGGGTTCGCGGTTCAGAACTCTGACAAGGCAATTCCCAGTGGCAGCAGGATCAGATTGGGCGCCGCCCCGAGTGCTTGACGTACTGCAGTTTCTGCTGATGACAAGGTGTCGAGTGAATGGGTGTGGTCCCTTATGTTTACCTTTCATAGTATTCTGCTTGATAAACGGGATCCTGGGATCCTCAAAAGGTCCCTGATTACTTCGAGCTCTGGGATGGTGTTTGATGGAGGCAGATACCCAGTACACCGACCGCATCAAGATTTACTTGGACGACAGCGGGGGTGGCCGTGTTATATTCATAGGTGAGTACCGGTCGAGAACTCAGGTCCGAGCAGCTCAGTGCTTTGAATTTCTCTGGAGATTCCGATTCTGGCACGGCAACCCTGAATCCTAAATCCTAAACCCTAAGCCCCGAAACGAATGTGCTCTGACTATGAGGTTTACCTTCCCTGCTTTGGTGCCACCAAGCATGTTGCGCCCTCAGACAAGTCGTGGGACCTGCTGCATCTCTCAGTCAGGCCGTGGCCTCCCTAAAACCCTAAGCCCTAAACCCTAAACCCTAGATGCAAAAAACAACTCGGCACTTGCGGGCAGGTCCAACAACAATTACTGGTCGATCTCTCTGCCGTACCCTCAGAAGTGGATGTTCCTGTGCAGCCATATAGCCTAATAAATAGTCCAAAGCATGTAAAATGGTGTGACGACTTTGGGGGTCAATCCGTTCTTTGGGCGGTCCTCATCACAAGGAATCCTAGAAGGTGTTTAAATGCAGACAAATAAATCTGAGCAAAAACTAGACACCCACAAATGTACCTGTATACTCGTTTACTAATAGCGATCTTTAATGTTATACATATATCTATATATGTATGTATATAAACATATATATATATATAATGCATGTTGTACAGTACTGTAATGGAGCATACTTATAAAGTTTCAGGATATACAAACACAAATATGAAATTTGAATATCAAATGTAAATGCAAATATAAGTATTTTAATTTATTTATTCGGGCATGGTGCGTTTAATCGTTCGTGACCCTTTTTGTGTAATTGCCCTGGGGCCTGCTCGGTACACAGGATGGTGCCTTCAACCCTAGTCCCTAAACCCTAAGCCCTAAGCTCCTCAAGGTGCCATTGGGCTGCAAGGATTCGAGCTGCTAGTTTCCCTTTTTTGAGTTTTATGGCCAAGAACATCTCCGGAAGAGTGCCCTTTAGCTACATTGTTCCAGTGATATATGCGAGTGCACGTAGCCGTGCCCGGGGTTGTTTGGAGCTTCGAGATCTTGGAGTTTAGGTTTTTCATCTTTTGGGTTCAGGGCGTGAGGCTCTTCGGTCTTTTCGGTGTGGGTGTGCGTGTGCGTCTCTCTCTGTGTGTGTATGTGTGTGTGTGTGTGTGTCTTTGTGTGTGTGTCTGTGTGTCTGTGTGTCTGTGTGTGTGTGTGTGTGTGTCTGTGTGTGTGTGTGTGTGTTTGTGTGTGTGTGTGTGTGTGTGTGACACGTGTGTGTGTGTGTGTGGGGATGCGAGTCTGATTGGCATCGCTTCTGGTACGTGTGAGGATACTGAGAGTGCAGGGATGCTGCCATTGCAGGTGCAGCGATCGGGACTGTCAGCAGCCTGACGATAAGCACGCTGCCCAGCACGTCTGCAGAGGTGCAGTCAAAGGTTCTCGCAGATTCAGCATTCTTGCAGCCAAGCGGTTGTCTGCTATTGGCATAACAACCTTGACCCTAGGCGACGACAACGCTTCATTGAACTCCGACCTCAATTCGACAAATTCCACCTGTGAGCCATCTTAGTGCCCTCGTGAACCAAACAAACGGTCCAATTCAGGTACATAATTGTGAGCTTCCCGATTGCCGGCTTCCAGCTCTACGAACTGTCTCAAGAGGCAAGCTTGGAGGGACCCCGCGTAATCCGGCTTCAGCCCTGCAAAATGGGATAAGGGCTCAGGGGTTTAGCTGGAGTTGCAAGCCCAAAGGGCAGCGGGAAGGAACAGTACCTTGTGCAGGAAACTACTATGTATCCCACGTTGAGTAGCCAATGCCAACACTTGGAGCGCACCCTAGAACATGTCCAGATCTCACATCCTGTCAACCTTGTCCGTTCCCATGATTTTGTCGCTGCACTGCGGTTGATGTCGGGGCAGCAGCGCAGGGAACACAGAAGCCATGTTCAGGGTGTTGCACATGTGATCGTAAATACCTCAACGCCGATACATTCAATTCACGCTCGCATGTTTGAACGTTTACCTACCACCTCTCGCCAAAACAATCCCTAAGCATGAAGCCTCCGATCCCAGACACTTCGTGTCACTGCGAACTCCGCCCTGCGCGCCGCGCGGCTTAGCGGAGAGGCACTCGCCAAATCGGAGATTCAATCAGGATGTGTGTTTGGCTATGGTGTTTGGGACTTTTCGGGTCTAGTTTGTTTCGGATTTAGGTCGAGTTCTTGTGCATGGGGTGGGCGTGTTGTTCTGTTGGTTGGTTCACGTAACTATTTAGGGCTTAGCGCCCGAAGTGATATTTTTCAAATGCTCGATCGAATCACGAGGATCTGAGAACATGTGGGGGTTCAAGGTTTGCTCAAGGTTTTCTTGGCAAGGTTGGACCACAAAGAATAAGCCCATGCACCCCAATAAGAAAACACAAGCCTAGCAATCCCTTGAGTCTGACAACTTCGAAGCCCCGAAGGCTTCATAGTCCTTAGTTTCGACCTTGGGATTCGTCGAGCATATAAGATCCGTTAGGGGCCACAGTTCTGTTTTTGGGTTTATCAGACACTTATATAAGGACTGTACATAGGATTTCGTGGGTTCAGGGCCTTGTGTCCTCAGCCGCACTCAAGCTGCTACCAGTACCTCAACCTTGTCATCCTAGCTGCCTGGGCCACTTGGAGGACAGGGGGTGCTGAGAGCCCGTATCTAGATCAGGGGCGCCATATTAGTCAGGCAAGCTGTCGTCCCTTATTAAAGGCCTTCAAGACCCTGGAAACTCAGCCCCCCCCCCCCCCCCCCCCCCCGCCCCCCGCACACACACACGCACAAGCACCCCTTCGTTTTCGTCAGGTTTTCGTCCCGATCTTCGTGATCTTCCTAACTTTGTTCAGACCGCTGTCGCGGCCCTGGAAGCAGCTGGGTTTATAGGGCTTGCAGGGAGGGTTCTAGATTTCATTGGGCTTACAAAAGGGTACAAAAGGGTATCTTTCAGGGTTTGCCAGAGGCTGGCAAAGCCGAGGTAGATCTCCCTGCCCCAGATTTAGGGTTCAGGGTTAACTCAGCTTACGCCCGCTGCTTGGTAGCCCAGTGGCACCCTTTACACCCTTTTTTGGGTTTAAGGTTCCCTTGTAAAGCAACCAACCCAAGAAAGGGTACCCTTTTTCTCATGGTGATATGGTTACTGGGCCACCAAGGCTGATTCAAAGAAACTTTCCTAGTCGGCGAAGAGGACAGCCAAGGGCACCTCAGATCGCAGGGGCCACATGGCTACAAGCACGCGGTCAGCTCTCTAGCTTCCTAACTTTAGGATGTTTTTTCGGATTGTTGGACTAGGCCCAGCCCCCGTATGTACGGATGGAGGAGTTACATGGGACGATAGCCGCGATAACTGGCCACACGGCCTTTAAGGGATTCTTGCCTGGAGAGCTAGCATACACCCTGAACCCTGACTTCCTCCCGAACCACACCCCCATGCCCAGGCGATGAAATCCGAGCGCGGTGTCTCACTTGCAGAGCAGCGCCACTAAGGGCGCACGATCACGCAGTTGGAGGGTGCTCAGCTGTTTTGGAATTAGGCTGTTGCCGCACAAGTTTTCCTGTTAGACGGTGTCGACAAAGCTAGCCATTGCAAAGTGGTCTTTCGGAGTCTTGGGTAGGCAGTTCAGAGCAGAAGTATCATTCTGCACGAGCTGAACACTCTTCATTTCGAACACACTGCCGAAGGCAAGGCGAATTCAACTGCAGTTGTAGTCAGGGTTTTGAGGACCAGGACTCAGGATCCTAATTGTTGGCCTACCTAGGCCTTTTTCTGGCATGTTCACAGCAAAAGGCCTATGCGGAGCTTCATCCTTGCTGGATATCTCCTGCAATAGCAGAACCCACACAAGGTTGGGTTCCTACAGGGTTGCTTGGAGTAGCTCCTTGTCGTTGTTCATGCTTGCGTCCTAAGGCTTCAAGAGGGGACCTCAGTTCCGATGCCAGAGTATTCTAAGTCGTGGTGGTGGATAGCATGCCAGGCTCTGGAGGCACGAGAATAGGCACCATTAGTGCGGCTAGCCAGAGCATTCCTACTGGAATTTCTTGCGTCTTTCGACATGCTGGCAAAACACACATGCGTTGGCGACACAGTCCGAACGCAACAGTCATCGACTGAAGTTGCTTTCCATTCAACGGCATACAAAGATGAGAAGAGGACAAGGCTACAAATTCGGCAGTCTGATCTCCTCGCAGCACGTTGACCGCAACATGCTTGTGAAGTCGCAAAAGAAAAGACAACGCTTACTGTAATACCCGAATCGGAGCAGCTCTGGAGTCTGGAGAGTCTATTAAGAAACATCTTTGTAGGGAACGGTGCCACCAAGCTATTCGCTTAAACTCTTTGTGGCGCCATGGATACAAGTGACGTGGTCCAGAGCGCTTTGGACTTTTTTCTGCAACAAACTGTTGACCCGTTTGAGCTGGTTGGCTTGGCTGGGCTTGGCCAAGTGGCTTACTCAACCATGAAGTTGGCAAGACTTCTTCTGGAGACCTCCAATATGCACGGGCCAGAACAGGTTTTTGATATGGGTGCTGAAATTGGTTGTGGCAAATTTGGCACGGTGTTCAAGGCTAACCACCGCCAGACTTTAAAAGCTGTCTAATGGCTTCAGAGGCACAGATTTTACACCCGCTTCATCATCCGCACATCTCGCGGCTCTGCATGACCTTTGAAGATGTGAGCCACATATACCGCCTGGTTTCGGAGATGTTGGAGGGCGGCGCTTTAGACGAGGCGTTGGCAAAGACCCGTGCGACATCCAGCACGCCATCATCACAGTCATTGATTTTGGCACTGCCAAAAGTTTCAGGGTGCACAAGTTGACAAGCATGTTTGCACACCTGTCTACGCTGCTCCAGAGGTCCTTGCGGCATGCTTCACCAAGGATCCGTATTCGGAAACAGTAGACATTTGGTCAAGTGGGGTCCTGCTGTATGAAATGCTAACTGGGTTACACCCGTTCCCATACAGCGGTGACGTGACAGCGTTCTTTGTCTCCGTGATCAAAGGCAAGTGGGAGTTCCGTGCGCAGAGCACATGCGGCCACATTTCCATATCACGCAAGAACATGCTCGTGGGCCAGCCCAAGTTGAGGGCCGGCGCGTGCTCCGTTTTTGCGTGCGTGTGACTTCCGCTGGCCAAGCGCCGTTGCCCAACAGTGCATGAGATTAGGCAGTGTCTGGATGCAGTTATACCTTTCAATTGTGCGTGCGCCCTGTGGTTTTGTGTCAGTGCTCGACGTCCACTTCGAGCTAGGATGCTGTCATAAGCGGAAGCACGGAGGGATGTTTAAGTGGACAGGGCCAAACAGTAACAAGCGACAGTGACGGTCGGTCAGGTGGGGCTTTGCTGGCGTTGAGTGATCTGGACTTGAGAGATCGTGACCTGGTTGACGCGTCATAGACCGCAGC